CTTGTGCCAATCACAGTGTTTCCGAGTGTTTAGGTTTAATAATATTGCGCTTAGGTGCACTGGTAAAATTATTAGAGCAGCTTGTTATCTTTCAAACAATCATGACATGTTCATTTGACCTTTTAGCTTATCTATGCATACTACATCATAAAATATGATATTAACAAGTGTTGAGCCGATACAAAAACAATTAACTTAGCTTAAATTAATTTTCCAGTTAATTTAAATGAAACAAAAGTTCATTGCTCGCAACAGGGACCACTGTACTATGAACTTTAATCCTTGGAAATCCTACAGTGTAGTATGCAAATTAAAAAACACAATGTTGTATTACAAACAGCCATAGACACACGCCTGAAAAGTATAACGAATGTTTTAGGGCCAGCGCACACTGCGTATACGCAATATCGAACGAGCAGCAGCTAACAATCCGGTCTGGCCAATAAATAAAAGCCAGTTACAGGTGCTGAAAACATGCACACACAGCAGCAGTTCGGGTTGGGTAGAATATTTCAAATATTACTCATACCACATGTGGGACAGACAACCACCCCCACCCATTTTCCCTTTTGTCCACCGCAAGCGGCAAAACATTTATAAAAATGAATTTGCAAATCCGCAAAATGCAAACCGAGCACAAAGTTGGAGGCAAACATTTTGTCGGCCAAATGCAGTAGGAAGGGGTCTGAGTGTGGAATATGTTTTTGCAAAAATCTGCCAACCCCCATCGCTCATCCCTCGGAAAGAGCACCACCACCAGCACCACCACAATCCGCTTGCTGACCATCTGTATTATTTGCATTGGATTTTTAATCAAAAATTGTGCGATTTCTCTTCGCTTTTTTGCCACAGCTTTTCTTCGCCTTTATTTTTATTTTTTCTGTTTACAGTTCGATTTTTATTATGTCCACCCCTCCGCCCTCAGCCCGAAAAACCACTCGAGCGGAGGGTTGCTGACTGCTCCTGGTGGTTGCTTTTTTTTCCGCTTTGTTTTCTGGGGTCGAGTCTATTATGCTGATTTATTTTTATTTTCATTCTGATTGCAATTTATGCGAGGCGGATGAATTATGAAAGCGATCGAAACGAGTAAGGACAACTCTGCGGGAAACTCAATCGAAGTGGGAAAAGGGAAAAGGTGGAGCAAAGAATTTTCCCAGTTAGCTTGAGGCGACAAAAAGTTGTTGCATACCAACAGGCGCCGTCCAAATTTGAACGGCATACAAAGTCCTGAAACTAAGCGGCGAACAAAAAATTATTACCATTCTTTTGCCACTTGAAAAGGGACCAGGACGAAAAACCCATATACAACACCCCCTGACAGGGCAATATGGAAAAAATGAATCCACAGCAGAGTCAGGGACAAAAAACAGACAGACGACAACTGCCAGCTCAAAATTGGACTGGAAAGAGTGAAAGAAAATGTCGAAAAAAATATTCTTTGTTGTTTTTTTTTTTGGCTTGATTTTGTGCCGTATTTTGTATGCGAAAAGTGCAGCCAGTAGCGGGTGGTTTCGGTGGTGCGATGGCTCGGTTTCAAACACCCTTGAAAAACAACTGTCAAACGCATTTCAGCGGTGGGAGGTGGCCAACTGCAGCGAAACAATAAGGCGAAAATAGAGGAGTTTGAGTGACTGATGAGTCCAAAAGGGGCAGCAGTGGCAAAGAGAGCAAGTCAAACATTTCGGATGTATTATTGGTTTTGCAGGGAGCACAGAAATCATATTTACATACTCGTATGTGAAAAGATCCAAATATATTATGAAAATGTACAAGAAAATTGATATATATCACCGAATTTATTCTATTTCTGCTTGTCAAAAACAAGCAGTTTCGACAAAGGAATATGATTGAAACCTCCCGCTCCAATGAGAAAACTTATTTCAAACATTTCATTCTGCCATTGGCTCCACGCACGTGTCTCACAATTTTTCATGGCCTCTAAAACGCACACATACATTCTGTATATATTACTTGTTTTGTTACATGACGCCAACTGTCGTCTCTGAAATAAAAAAAATGGGAAACACCGAACCGGAGGCAAATCGAACAAAAAAACACGCAAACAACAATAACAATAAAAATAGAAGTGGAAAAACAGAAGAAAAACTTTGATTTTTTTTAGGGATTGTTCTGCCTCAGCAACGTAATAAAGTTTACCAGACATGTCCTCCGAAAGGATGTCGCATTGCCGTCTGGGCTATAATTCATATCGCCAGGAACAATGACAATAAATCGTGAAAATATAGTCAAATAAAATGAACAAAAAATATTTATAAAAAATATACATACACCCCCTGGTTGAAAACCCTTAACGACGCCCCTGTCTGTTGACATACGGAAATCATTTCGTGTGCCAAATGAGAAATAATTTTTATTACCACAGCAAATCAAAGTGCGCACAATTTACAATTACACAAGCCAACGACTATTAGCGAGAGAATCGGAGAGAAAACCTGGGGAAGAGGCCACAGATCGTGCACTGATTTCGATATGAAGCTATATCTTTCGAGCACGTGTTTTTTTTTTATAGTGGCCTCCAAAACGAATTTTAGTGGTTCTAAACTTTGATCATATCTCCTTGTCTCCTTCTCGGGCGTTCTATCTATCTCGCTCGTTTGTGAGTTACCTGTTTTGCTTTATTTTTATCTAATCAATGAAGAAATTTATATCTAATCAAAGTACAAAAGGCAGCAACAACGAGAACGCGACTCGAGCTAAAAGCAGAAACAAAGCAAGGCAGCGTCATCGGAGATCGTCCACTTCCTCGCCTCTCGATAGCCCCTAAAACGCAAAGTTTTTTCCAGTGCAAGTCACATAATGAGACGATTATATGATCGCAAGTGCACAACTTGTTTGCTCATTAGAATGAAAACATTCCCCAATATCTTCTATACTTTACTAGAATTTTGAGCCCTGTCTTTGTTTTGTTTATCTCGTATCTCAGGTTCTTTTTTCCATAATTTTTGGGTATTTTATCTCAGCACTCGGTGAAGGTCACTTTGTTTCTAAGTGCATATTTCTGATAAGGCATTCTAAGTAATAATGTTTTTTGGAATTTTTATTTGTCTCTTGTGGCAAGTCTATAATTATATTATATATAAATAGGTACAGTCTTGCAAATAAATTTATTTAGCACACTTTTTGGCGATTTTAATTGCAAATATTTAAAGAAAATAAACATCAATTAATATTTTCACCTAACCCTTCTATATTACCTATCTATTCATTTCTGCATTGGGTGCTACTGCCCACTCTCTCTCTCTCTTTCTCTCTTTCTTTCTCTTTGTATATCTTTCTCACTCTATGAATCGACCTAATGACCCGCTTTGCTCTGTTTACCTCTCCACTCTGTTTTTGCACTTGGAAATTGCTAGCTGCTCGATGCTAATTTATCGTCACAGTCTCGCGGCAATCACAGGTTCAGTTCCACCACCAATTCTTCCCCCACCCGATCCGCCCGGCACCACAACGATTCTTCCCCCACACAATTCTCCCCTCCCCTCGCGATTCTCCAGCGATCTTTGTAGACTTTGCCGGCTCTGGCTTTTCGTCATGCGATTATCAGCCAATCGCTTAGTGTGCCATTTATTTGCATTTCGCTCGGCGCTGCATTTGTTGTTGCCTTCGTGTTACGTTTTGTTACGTTTTTTTGTTGGGTTTTTATTTATTTTTATTTGTTTCCAACTCTTATTTGCTTTTGTGTTGCTGGCCGATGTGTGTTTGCGTTGAGCTGCTTTTGTAGATGCGCAATTATTGTGAGCGTGTTACTTTATATTTTTAATGTGCGACTTTTTTTGTTGTTACGCTTAGGGTTCTACTCTTTAAAAAAATGTTGGTTTAAATAGAACAAATTCAGTTGGGACTTAAACCAAAGAAATTATTTATTTTTCAAGTGATAAGAGCTTTAAATAAATAATTCACAAAAATTAATCATACGCACCGTTTTTAAAATTACTCATTCGCCTTGTTGGGAGATGAATTTTTATGAAATGGAAATTTTTAAAAACCGTTGAACATATTTAGTAATATTTACGTAAACAATTTGTGTACAATATGTTTACTGATTTTGTTTTTGCCTAGAGTATTTTATCTTCGACTCCACAGTTGTTTTCGATTTTATGTGTTTTCTGCTTCGCATTCGCACTGCGTTCATATGCTTCATATTGTTATTGTCTGGCTGGCAAATATGCTTAATTATTTTTACCTTAAAAGTCGCGCCATCAAAGCGAATGCGAAAACAATTTCAATGGTTGCGAATGGAACAATTGAAGGGAGCGATGTCGAGGGCAATACAAACCTAAACCTAAACCCTGAGCCCATTTGACATTTTCGGGCTTAAATGTCACAGCAAATCGAGGGGAAAACAAGTGCAATGGGAAATATAAGCAAAGGAGAAGATGGAAATTGCAATCGCAATTGCCACACAGCAACAACACAGTACAACGAATGACGTTGACAATGACGATGATGGAGATATGGCTGGGTGCTAGAAAAGGGGGCGGGGTTTCGAAGGGGGGTTTTGTAGGGGTGTTAGAAACGGCAGTCAATGGATGGTGCTGCGGATACTGGGGTAAAATCACGAACATAAGCCGCCTTAGGCTGACATCATCCATGGAGGTCGAATAATGATTCGGTGACCAGAGAACAACTTAAATTAGATTATGCACTCTGTTCTTCGGAGTGACTAACCAATTCACGAGATAAAAAAAAAACCCAGCCCAATTAACTGTTCAGTATATAATGCTATTTAACTTAGCAATAATAAAATATTTAAACGAATTGAGATTAATATAGGCACGACCCTGGCTTTATTTGTCTTCTGAAAGCATTTGAACACATCCAAAATTATCTAGTTGTCGATTTATTTTAAGCTTTTTCTGCTCATTTCGGGGACCAAAAATGTCTAGCGGAGGAGCAGAACCGACTTGTCCCTTTTACCACATTAAAACGCCATTCACCTTGTGGAAACCAACTAACCAGTGGCTCTGTCTCTATTGCAGGAAAAATGATGAAATGAACCAGCAGGCGGGCTCCTCAAGGGCGCCAGCCACCGGGGGCCAAATCTCACCGCCAGGTGCCACAACAGTCGGCGTGGACCAGCAGCAACAGTTGCAGCAGCAGCAGCAGCAGCAGTACTACAACCAGCAGCAGCAACAGCAACAGTACCAGCAGCAACATCAGCGCGACAATTTTCTGGCCTACCAGCAGCAGCAACAACAGCAGCAGCAGCAGCAACACCAGCGATCCGCAGTGGGTGGCGGCGGTAACTTTATGCTGGGCAATGACCTTGTCGGCGGCGACAGCCTGCGCAGCCTGAACAACACTTTTGGTCCCAACTCGGAGTTCACGGCCCTCGGAGGCGCCACCAGCTCGGCATCGGCCTCGCTGGGCGGATTGGGCAACACCGGCGGTCAGGGGTACACGGGCATGGTTGCTGCCAGCCAGCAACACCAGCAGCAGCAGCAACACCACCAGCAACAGCACCACCAACAGCAGCAACACATGTCCAGCATGGACGCCATGGGCGGTTACAGTCAGGTGAGAATTTTTATTAAGATTCTATGGATAGAAATACAAGTTTATGGAAGGTTAATTTCATTTTTAGTATTTTTTACATTTTATAAAATAAATGGTTTGAGCAAGCTATAGTGGATGTACCTAATTATTCAATATTCAATCCTGTATTTAATTAAATTTTTTTAATTATTTTCATTTCATTTTATAACAGATGGGTGGCGGCATGCACCCTGGACCGAACAGCGGTATGATGGGCAACATGAACGCCCAGTACATGAACGGCGGTTCCGGCCAAGGCGGCTATAATGGCAGCCAGGGAATGGGAATGGGCTACGGCGGAGGTGGCAACATCGGACCACAGAGGCATCATCAAGTGAGTACCATTTAGGATAAGTATTTTAAAGGGTTTACGAAAACGGATGGGTGACTTCATAGCCATCTTATCCAGAACTTTTATATGACCAGCTGTTGACAATTCATTTGGCGGCAGTAAACAGATTTCGCTTTTAAAACGTTTGCCCATTAACGAATTATTCGAATCGCACCCAAAACAGAAGTCGGCGGCTTCGAAAATGACAAATTTGTGACGGCCGAAGCGACAGTAATCCGCTCAAGCTCAATGGCTGGCATTATTTGCCCCAGTCTCCCAATTTTCGAAGCTTTAAATGTCAAAAGTTTACGCTTAATTAGTGATAGGAGGAAGAGAGATTTAACTTTTTCGAGAGGAACCATTTTACGTATGTTCAGTAGAGATTATCTTTCCCAATATTTTAGTTATCTCAATCAATACAGAAACAAAATATCTTATAAATGTTTGTTTCATTAGCTCTTTAAATGTTTTTTTCAGCTTACAATTTATATAAATTTATTTTTTTAATTTTAATCAGTTTCAGAAAAAAACTTTACTAATTGTTATGATGCCTTTTTAGTTTTTGATTTATTTCAGAAGCTTTTTTGCTTTCTGCTTTTTAGTTCTAGTTTAACAAATTTAATTGTTCCAGTGGGCAAAGCGCCGCAATTATAAAGATAAGGATAGGGTAGCGACACTAATTGCTGGACTGGAAAAATCTTCTGTGTAAATGTGAAAAACCCCCTCTAATCAATCGATCCCCTGCCCCCTTTCAGATGACGCCCATGAACCAGATGCAGAACATGTCTATGGGCCCCGGAGTCGGCGGAAGTGGCGGCATGGGCGGCGGCATGAATCCCCTGCAGCAACAGGCGGCGCAGCAGCAGATGGGCGGCATGAACCCGATGGCCAAGATGCAGGGCATGGCCAACGGGTATCCGCAGCAGGCGCCACCCACCCTCTCGCAGCAGCAACAGCAGCAGCAGCAGCGGCGGATGGCCCCCTATCCGCATCCCCAGATGCACATGGCCCAGAAGAGGGCGGCGGGCGGAGTGGGCGGGGCCGGAGGAATGTACCCGGGTAATCCGATGCAGCAGCAGCAACAGGCGCAGATGTACGGCGGCCAGCAGATGCATCCCGGCAACGGCGGCGGCGGAGTACCGCTGCCCATGCAGGCGGGCGGAGCCGGAAACGGTTACGGACGCAGCGGACCCATGGGCGCCGGCAACGGGGGCTACGGCCGAATGTCCGCGGGCAATGGCATGGGTCCCGCCGGCGGCCCAGTGATGGGACCCATGGGTCCGGGTGGCATGACGGCCGGAGGAATGGGTCCCGGACCGGGTTGCATGAGCCAGCAGCGCTTTATGCCTCAAGGATCCGGCGGGGGAGGCGGTATGCCCTACGGCGGCGTCGGAGGAGCCGGTTCTCACCAAGGACAGTTCTATCCGGGCAGCGGCCAGAGCGCCGGAATGCAGCAGGCAGGTGGCATGTGCCCGGCGGGTCCGGGAGGCGTGGCCACCACGGGCAATCCCTACCAGAATCAAGGGTGAGTTCGCCTCGTTAATCCCCCACGTAATCAGTTAATAATGTTGTGTATTTTCTTTTCAGTTTCCAGCAAAACTATCAGCACAGTCCAGTTCCTGGCAATCCAACGCCTCCGCTGACGCCCGCCTGCAGTGTGCCCTATGTCAGCCCAAATCCGGACATCAAGCCAGTCATGGACAACAGTAAGTTATACTTTAAAATAAAATACTTCACTTAGTATATTTTATTAATATTTATACCTCCCCTTTTCAGGCGAAGAAATGAGACTGACATTCCCGGTGCGAGACGGCGTCATCCTGGCTCCTTTCCGGCTGCTGCACAATCTTTCGGTCAGCAACCATGTGTTCCATCTCAAACAGAATGTCTACAACACGCTAATGTGCAGGTGGGTTTCTAGAAATACATTTTTTTGTTTGTTTTTTATATTAATTAATTTTTGAAATATTTTTTAGAACCGACTTGGAGCTGCAGCTGAAGTGCTTCCACCAGGATGACCGGCAAATGAACACCAATTGGCCGCACACCGTCACCGTTTCCGCGAATGCCACGCCCCTGAATATCGAGCGGTCCGAGAAGAACAGTACCGCCCTGCGTCCGCTCTACTTGAAGGCCGTCTGTCAACCGGGAAGAAACACTCTCCAGCTGACCGCCAGTTCCTGCTGTTGTGTAAGTACTTTTGGTTATGAAAAAAGCCCACTTAAGTAGGCAACATTTTTTTTAATTTGCCAAATATCGAAACTAAACTAAGTTTGCAGTCTCCTTGGGGAATGCCAATCCAAAATACTTACTCAAAACCTTTACCTCTGTTTTTTACAGTCGCACCTGTTCGTGCTGCAGCTCGTCCATCGACCGTCGGTGCGCCAGGTGCTGCAGACGCTGCACAAGCGCAACTTGCTGCCGCTGGAGCACAGCGTGCAGAAGATCAAGCGCAACTTGAGCCAGCCGGAGGCGAATCCCGGAGCGGAGGGCACGCCCCAGCAGGGCGTCCAGCAGGGCAACGGGCAGCAGTGCGCCAAGATCTCATTGAAGTGCCCCATCACGAAGTCGCGGATACGACTGCCGGCCAGGGGGCACGAGTGCAAGCACGTGCAGTGCTTCGACTTGGAGGCGTATCTGATGATCAACAGCGAGCGGGGCTCGTGGCGCTGTCCGGAGTGCAGCAAGTCGGCCATCACCGATACGCTGGAGATCGACCAGTACATCTGGGCCATACTCAACACGCTGGGCAACTCGGACGTGGACGAGGTGATCATCGATTCGTCGGCCAACTGGCGGGCCTTGCAGCACAATGGCGGCATGCCGAACGCCCCGCCCCCCTCGAATGTTCCTAGCAATCCCAGCGGCGGCGGTGGCAATGCCAGTACCGGCAACGGAAGCGGCAACCCCACCCTGCCGGCCATCAAACAGGAACTGTGCGACGACATCGCCAAGGTCATGTCGCCGGGATCCACCCAACTGCCCACCTGGGACAGTGCGCAGGCGATGAGTCCCTACAACATGCACGACATGAACTCCATTGCCAGCGGCAACATGATGGGCAACGGCGGCAACACCAACCAGCAGTAAGTTTATACATCTATCATTAAGTAGGAGTGATAATTAACATTGGTGTTTTGCTTGAACTTTTAGTGGCAATCGCAGCAGCTATGACGGCTTCAGTGGCAACCACAGCGACGGCAGTGGCGGTTTGGCAGGCAGCGACGGCGGTGTCAACTCCCTCGACCAACTGAATGCCATGGAAAAATCGCTCAGCGATCAGGTAAGCATATCAAAAAATATTTTAATAATAATAGTTTTGATATTGAAATTGATTGGGAATTAGATGGTTCGATTTTCAACTTATTAAAAATAGCACGAATTAAATTTCTTTTTTGTTTCATATTTTAATGGTTGTAAAGAGGTTCTGTTTTTTTTTTGTACTTAAAAACTCTCAACATAAATTTTAACTAATTTCTGTATGTTATTCTTCTATTATAGATGCCACACACCCCGCACACCCCCGGTGCGGCCAGCCATCCGATGACCCCCGGCGGACCGCCCAGCGTGAGCAGCTCCCACAACGAACCGATCAGCGGCGGTACGCCCAACGCCAACGGCAGCGGAAGCGGCACCAACGGAAGCGGCAACAACAACAACAGCAGCACGGGCCACAACTCACCGCAGACGCCGGGCACGCCCAGTCGAATGGGCGGTGGCGGCGGTGGGGGAATGGGAGGCGGAGGAGCGGATAGCCAGCAGCAGCAGCAAGAGCAGCTGCTCAACTCACTGATGAGCAGTCAAACCCAATTAAAGTTCACCGAAAGCGATCTGAGCGCCGAGCTGCAAAGCTTCGATGCGGCGGCAGCGGCCATAAACGATACAGCCCACGATCTGAATGTAAGTTTCACTAAATATATATCCTTTAAAATATAAAATACTAATTAAAAAATTTTTCCTAATCATTTTTAGCTGCTACAAGACGTGGATCCCATGGAAATCCTTTCCTATTTGGACCCACAGCCCGATCTTAACACTCCGCCCTCGAGTGGCAGCAGCAACAACAACGCCAGCGACGACCTTTTGGCCACGTTATTCGACTAGGCCCAAACAGAGAATCAAGGCCCACAGGCCCAGAGAGAGTTGGAGAATTGAAATGGCAGAAATACCATAAATTGTATATAGTATTATTAATTTTAATGAAATGTGCACTAGAAGCCAGTCGCGTACTTCAACAAATATTTTCGTTTCCTCACACAAACCAACAGCAGCAACAAGAAAAACCACAAAAATGGATAAACTATTACAAAACAACACACTGAATGAGAAATCGAAGCGGAAATTTGAATTTGCCCGTGTTGAAAAACAATGAAATGTGATTTAAAAATTAATTAATTAAATTAATTGGCATTTAATTTAAAGCTAACTGACAAAAACCCCATAAAAAAACGAAAAAAAAATATACACACACACAAAAGCGGAAAAAAATAACAAACAGTCATTATACCATGTAAAAAAAAAAACAATCAATTCAGTTGAGAGCATGAGAAATTCCTTCAATGAAATTTACGAATTTAAAATGCAGCAGAAAGTCCTTTGTTCGTTTATTTGAAAATTACATTTTTTGTTTGCCTTATCCCAGACTTTTGTTGCAAAATGTTTCTTGTTCATTCAAAGTATTAAAAATATTAAACAATAAAAAGAATTAAATCATCTACGACAAAAAGCATGAGCAAAGAAAAACAAAAGCGAAAAAATGAAAAATACAAATACATACAAGTGAAATCCCAACAATTTTATTACATTTATAAAATGAAAACATTTACATTTTAATTGTTGCATAATTTTAATTATTTTTTAAAGCCTAAATACATATAAAAAGTAATTGATTTAGCTCGGTAAATGATAAACGAAATTTAACAGACCAGCGGAGGAAATATTAAGAATTATGAACTATAACGAACAGAGAATAAATGTGTATATTTAAGTGACAAAACAAAAACTGCATAATTAGCGGAAGAGAGAAACAAACTATTAAAAGTGTAAATCAAATTTAATGCTAGATCTTAAATATATTGTATATATGGATATGTATGTTATATATGCGGCAACAACAAGAACACACCCCTCCCCAAAAAAAACACACACACAAAGCTAATTAATACATTTAAATAATGATAATAATAAATGAAAAAACAAAAAGTATTTCAAAACTAAAATTACAGTGTTATTATTTTGTTTGCGTTTTATTTTCCCACACAATTCCCTTTTTCGGATTTTTACTTCAGTTAAGTTTTCAGTTTCTCTATAAGTTTCGTACGATGTGGTTAACATGGACCAATTTTTATATACAAATATATATGTATAACACCCACACACCGACGAGTCTTTGAATAGAGTATATATGCGAACTATATATAACGGAAAATATATATATTCATGTACGTATCTGATATGATATTCAAATATAGCGAAATTTTTAAGCTTTGCCCAGGCTAATTCCCCGTTCCGCGCTTAACAAAACGAAAAAAAACTCCAAAAATTTACGCAAAATCGCCTCGATGTGGTAGTTAAATGAATCTCAATCTCTTCTCAATGTTATCAAGAACACACGTAATTAAATTATTATATAAACACGTATATCCAAAAAGCGAAAAAGAAACAAAATTCGTAGTGGTTTCATTGTAAAACAATATTTCATAAAGATTAACGAACAACTTAGCTTCAAGATTTCGATATTCCAGTTCGAATTCTTCTCTCGCTTAATGAAAAAACAAACGACACGATTAACGATTAACAATATCGATAGGCAGTTGGGATGCGCAAATGTGATTTTATTCAAAATAAAATACACATAACCATGATTACAATTAATGAAGATTTTTATTTGGATCTGTGGGATCGTTCGCTGGATCTGGCTGCGGAGGAAGAGAGTTGTACATATGAGTATTTAACTAACGTAATCTTTATGAATGAACATGGTATATATCTGATTATATATAATATGTTTAAATTTAGTCCATAAGTTGTAATTTTAAACGATGGAACAAAAGCAAATACACATTAAATAATATGAAGAGAAATAAACCAAAAGGAGGGTTGAGTTTACTGTGCTCTTCGTTCAATTCCAGCGGCTCTTCTTGGCCCTCTTGGAGTCCTGGTTGCTGTTGTTGCCACTGCTGTTGGATGATGAGGAAGCCCCTTGTGATGATGATGATGATGATGATGGTGGCGGTGCCATTGGTGCAGCAAAAACTCCAGAATCTGGCAAAGTTTTCTCCCAAGTTCGGTCGCTCGACGCTCGAAATTGGTTATTATACTGGGAGCGGAAAGCCTCCCTCATGGCTGCATAGCGATCTGTTGCCGGTCCCGCGCTGGAAGAGGATTTGCTAGCGGGTCCTTCACTTGGACTTTGATGGGCAGACGCACTGGGTCCCGAGTCCGATCCACCACCCGCTCCATTTCCTCGCTCTCGATAACCCAATCCTGTGTGGGTATTGGTGGGTCTTTTGCCCTTGCCCTGCTTAAAACGCGAACTGCGGAACCAGGAACTCTTCATCGCCAATTCCATTAGATCGTCGGGCACCTGCTGATCAGCGCCCTCCAAGTTTCGCACCAGGTGTCCTGCAAACTCCTTGTCCTTATCGGTGACCAGAGTGAATGCATTACCCTTTTCTCCCGCTCTGCCGGTTCTTCCGATTCGGTGAGTGTGCGTATCAATGTCCCTGGCAATGTCGTAGTTCACCACATTCCTGATATGGGGTATATCCAATCCTCTAGCTGCCACATCGGTGGCCACCAGTATATCGCACTCCTTCCTCTTAAACTGTGTAATAACTTTATTTCTGTCCGCTTGATCCATATCGCCGTGGAGTAGCAGGCAATTGTATTCCTTGACCAACAGATTATTGGACACAGTCTCGGCATCTGCTTTTTTGGTCACGAAGATCAGCACGCTGCCTTCGGATAGGAACTTTACCAGGTGGCACAGCAGCCAGTTCCATTTCTGCAAGGGATTTGGGAATACATATACCGACTGAGTAATGTCCTGGTTGGCCTCGTTCAGATCTCCCTGGACTATTCTCACCGGATCGGTAAGCACATCTCTGGCCAGGCGTTCGATTCGCTTCTTGAACGTGGCGGAAAACATAAGACATTGCCGATCTGGACGCACATGGTTGCATATGGAGCGCACCTGCGGCTCGAATCCCATGTGAAACATGCGATCAGCTTCGTCGAGCACCAAAAATGTCACTCTCCTCAAATTGGTGGCCTTCATTTTGACCATATCTATCATTCGACCGGGAGTGGCCACTATGATTTCAGCTCCCTGCTCCAAAGCTTTACTCTGCTCCCATTTTGAGCCACCGCCGTAGCAGCAAACCACATTTAGGTTGTAGACTTTGCCAAACTTCTTGGCCTCGTTGTAGATTTGAAGGGAAAGCTCGCGCGTTGGTGCTAAAATTAAACCTATGGGTCCGTCGCCTGGTTTCAGCTGTCTTTGATCCATCAAGTGCATTAGCATAGGCCAAATGAAGGCTGCTGTTTTACCGGAACCCGTTTTGGCTATGCCAATGATATCTCTGCCGGATAAGGCGGTTGGAACAGCTTGAGCCTGGATGGGAGTGGGTTGTGTGTATTCCGCTTTCCTTACAGCCTTAATGAGCGGTTCGTCGAAGCCGAAATGCCCGAAGGATGTAACAGGCTTGGGTGGCGATGGTCCGGTCACCTTAACGCCCAGAGTGCGCCTTAACTCTCGGACCTGCTCCTCGTCCAGGGCCGCTATATCCTCGTGCTGTGTGTAGAAGTTTTTCTCGAAGGGTTCGTATTCGATTTCGGAGTGATAAATGGGCGGCAGGGGATCAATGTCCTTTTTCTTGGGTGGAGCTATGGGATTGCCATCCTCGTCGTATTCGATTTCCTGGTCGGATCCCTCATCACGAAGACCTGCGTTGGGATTCTCTTTCATGTAGCGATAGTAGCTCTCCTCATCGTCCTCATCGTCGATGTCACCACGAACCGCTTGAGTTGGCGCCTTGGGAGCCTGTTGGCGCTTCTCCTTTTCCACCTGCTGGTTGATGCCGGCCATAAATTGCTCTAAGGGGTCCTCATCCGAATCGGATTCCTCGTGGTTTTTGGCAGGAGGAGGTGGAGCTCCCGGCGATCCTGGAGCGGGTATATAAGCCTGTTCCAGTTCCTTTTCCCGGGGCTCATCGTCATCGTCGAAGTAATAATCGTCATCGGTGTGATGCTTTCTTTTGCCCACTAGATTTGTGGCATTGGTGTACTGACTAATGGAGTCGAGTGTGGAATAGCCGTGCTTAGAAGTCGATGTAGTACTCCCCGTAATCCCTCCACGAGACAGTCCACCAGAGTTTGATGCTCCGCCGCCGCGAGAACCCGTGAAACCACGGGCATTTAACATCGGTGGGGGAGGCACGGCGTTCATGTTGTTGCCCGAACTGGCTGACTTGCGGTAGGGGAATCCTCCGCCGCCGATTCCTCGGTAGCCGCTCATTGTACTCCAAAATGCGGGTCCTCCAAATCAAACAACTTCCCAAAACAAAATCAATAAAGCAAAGTTTCCCAGGCAGTGTGACCGCAATCACAGCGGTGATATATTTCGCCTTCCCCTGTGAATATTAGCTGGTCACACTTTTTCAGTTGGACTCAAAATTGTTACCTATTATTATATTGTTTATTTAAACAAACAAGTGCAACAAATAAAACAGAATGGCTTTAATAGTTGTTTACCACTCTTTAGAAAACCAATTTTTTATTTCATTAGGAACCTTCTTTTTTTATTGGTACATTTTGGTATACTCTATGGTGGTAGCAAACACAGAGCCAAAACTTCTTACTTAACATTATTATAATATTATACATATAAATTTGTTATAAGGGACTTATAAGTTAAAAATTATTTCGATAGACAATTTTTAAGGAAATTGTGATATGAAAATTCTGTAAACATGCATGCTGTGCAACAATTGTTTTCAAAAATTTTTTTATTGCAATTTTTCGAATTATTTTGATATGAAGCTTAAGTTAACATATCAACATAATATTTAGAATTGTTTACTTTTTAGCAACCTTTTTAAATACATAATTCCATTTTTTCATGTATGTATTATAACTGAACATGTTATTTTGAAATAGGCATATTGACAAAAAAGTTACCTATCATTCCTGATTTTTTGTGAAAACGTAACGCTGGTTTATTAACATTTTAAGATGGAAAGGGACTAAAAGTGCTGTCCTTTTTAAAACATGTCGAAATTATTCCAAAATTTAGCGGTCATAAGATTTTAACAATTAAACAAATAAATCATGACACATACGATATATCGAATAAGCGGTATACTAAACGGTATTTTTTTACTTCACTGCGGTCACACTTATTCCTACGGTGCTTAGCTTTGGTTTTTCATGATGGCATAAACATTATCCGGAAACGTACATGAAACCGCAACCGCCGTGCTGGTGCACCGCTGCAACCGACGAGGACGTCCGCCCGGGCCGCCCAATCGATATTACCGCCCGGCGAGGGAAAGCGCAGCGTGAAGAATCGGCAGCAACGCGGCGCCGCCATTGAGAAAACGAAAAGAAAAGCGTGTACTGCTCCCCACAAACAACAAGAAAGCCCATAAGAAAAAAGGGAGTGAGAAAAACCGTTTCGAGGTCGCCGGATGTGATAATGTCACAAGCAGCGGAGGGATCAGTCGACGGCATGGAGGATACAGCGACATGTAACCAGGAAATACCGCCGGAGGATCTCCAGGACATTGACACCAATAGTCTGGAGCCGGGGGAGGTGGTGACACCGCCCCATCACCATCCCGGTAGCCCAGCTGTCAAGAAGATTCTCTCCAAGGACCTTATGATCAGCAAAACCCTGCGAAAGATACCTCCTAGTATCCTTGAAATGGCTCGCAAGGAAAACGGCACACTGGGTACTCCTAAAAAATCATCGGAGGAGGCAGACGACAGTGAGGGCCTCTATTCAGATTCTGATTCTTCTGGAGAGGATCTAAAGAACCTAGAGGATGTGCAAAAGGCCAGGAAGGAAAAGCAAGAGGAGGCTGCAGCCGCCGCCCTTCCACAAGCTCCACCCACCCCCTTTTTAGGAATAAATCCTCTGAGATTCCATATGAGAGCACCTTGTTTTGACTTTCCTCGAATGGGTTTCATGCCCCGAATGGCCAGAGGTGGGCCTAGGGGCATGCGACCGCCCTTTTTCGGTCGCCCGCCCGCTCCCAATCGTATGGGAGCACCGATGATGGGTGCCCCAGCCCAAGGACCTCCTCCAGGTGCCTTTGGACAACCGAAGCCGCCAGGACCGGGAAGTAACACCAATTCAGCACACGGCAGGCGACCTCAATCGGATGTGGTGTAAGTAAATCACATAGTTGCATAATAAATTAAAATAAACACATTTTTTTTAGATGGACAGCCTTGCAGCCGCCTGTGTCCTTTGTCTTCAATCTAGTTTCCGAGTGCGCTAATTCAAAACATGAGAATTGCAGGACAACAAAACCGGAACAGGTGGCACCCAAATCCAAGGAAGGTACAAGCGAAAAAGAGGAAAAGCCAAAAGAGCAATCGAGCAAAAATGATCGATCCAGGGACAAGGCCAGGGAAAACTCCCAGCAGAGAAATATCGAGAGAGGAAAAACAAGAGACACATCACGTGGAAAAACCAGGGAGAGATCCAAGAGTAAAAATACAAGCAGAGGAAAAACAAGAGAAAAGTCCAAAGATAGGGATTTAGGGAGAGGGAGTGCTAGAAAGAAGTCCAGGGAGCGAGATGTAATTCGAGCAAAAAGTAGGGGGCGATCTCAAGACCGAAATCGAAGCAGATCAAAGAAAAGGGACAGGTCCCTTGAGAAATATCACACTAGAGGTGAATCAAGGACGAAACCAAGGGAAAGATCGCAGCTACAAGATCAAATGAGGGGGAAAGCAGGTGACCGATCTAGGGATCCAGATACTATGAGGCAAAAAACACCAGAAAGATTGCATGTCAGAGATTCAAACACAGAAAAACCTAAAGAGAAAGATCACACCCGGGCGAAGTCAAAGATAAGGTCCAAATCCAGGGAAAAGACAACAGAAAAACCAAGGGAAAAGCACAGAGGTTTATCCAGGGAAAAGCTGAAAAACAAATCTAAAGAGCATGCTGAAAAATCAAATGATGAATTCAAGGAGAAACCGAAAGAAATCCTCGAGGATAACCTGAAACGAAAGCAACGAGAAGGATCCAACGAGAAGAGAAGAAAACGGTCTAGGGAAGGACAGCATGTGAAATCATCTGAAAGAATTCAAGACAAGCCACCAGAGGGAAAATCTGAAGCGAACCGAACGAAAGAAACAGAAAACTCTAAAGAAGCTCGTTTGAATGATGAACTGCCGAATCCGTTGGTTAAAACCCTGGGCGAACGGTTCGTAGACAAGCAAAGAAGGCGATCCAGGGAAAAGTCACCCACGAAGTGCTCCAAAGAAAGCGCCAAAGACAAAACCCAGGAGCCTTCGAAGGAAAAGAAAGACGACCTAGCAAATAAAAGGGAATCGGAAACTCCCAGGGAAAAGCGTTCAGAAAGATCTATGCGAGCGGCAACGCCTCATGACTCCATCGACGAAAATATTAAGGAAAATGACTGTAGTTCAAAGAGAAAAGGTCAGGCTTCTTCTCCCCGGGTAAGCAAAGAAGGAACTCCTCCAATGACGCCTCCACAGATTCAGACGCCTCTGACTCCAGCTAGTGAAACGCCGAAGCCCAAAGGTTACGATATATTTGCCGACTCACCTCCAAGATCAATCACTGCCGATAAAGCTCCAGCTGTATTTATCGAACGAAGCACTACGCCTCCACTGAAAGCGACTCCGGTTTCAATTCCTATTGCGCCCACTCCAAAACCTGACAAATTGGCTCCACTTCTCAGGGCCAGCGAGATTCACAGTAGGATAGGTGCCCTGCTCGAGGATAGCGACTTGCATTTGGAAGCCCTGTTGGCTACCAAAGAGCAGCTGTTTCGCCGAACCAACGAATACAAGGAGAGAAAAGGACCGCCCAAGGAGATTAAAACAGAACCTCATCCAAATAGCTTTAGGAGTTCTGGTGTTAGTGGTAAGGAGTACGATCACCATAGCAGACAGCCAAGACATGTAAATCCGTTCAAGCGTGAATCAGTATTAAGCGGGAGGAATACCTACTCGCGTCCTCCGAGCAAGGAGAAGCGTCCTCCAAGCAAGGAGAAGCGTCTTCAAAAAAAGGAAAGCGAAAGTGAAGAGGATTGGGACAAAAATATAGAAAAGGACCAACATCACCAACGAGTCAACGTATATAGAGAAATAAGCGTTAAGATTGAAAAGGATCTTACGCCGCCGCAAAAGCCAGCCTACCACACTACCGTCATCAAAATCGAACGCAATGCCACGCCCCCTAGGGATGTGGAGCGTGAGGTACTGGTCAGAAATGGGGCAGTGGCGGCCAATGCACCTCCGCCAGCAAAAGAGCAAGAAAGTCCCGATACAGATGACTACATTGACAACTGGGAAAACGACGATTCAATGGCCAGTATACCGAAGAATGCTCTTCCCGCAACGCCCACTCCTGCCCCCAATTCCAATGCATCTATAAATGTCACACCATTGCCTCCGCCAGCTGCTCCATTCGATGGCGACGATGACGACTCTAATGCCCTGTGGAATGCCAAGAGCACGCCACCTCCTCGACCTAAGGAAGCGAACCTGCCCACGAGCAATATCCATGAGTTATATGACAAATTCATGAATAGTATTAAAATGTCCGAAGAGGACTTGGAGGCCGAAATGCTGGATGTCTCCAAGAACAGTTCCTTGAGCAATTCCACTGCCGATGATAGTTCCTCGGCAACAGAGACATCTTCAACAAGTAGCACTAGCAGCGGATCGGAGGAGGATTCTACGTCAGACAACGAAGACGAAAATTCTTCGGATGAGGAATCCGTCTCAGAAGCAGAAAATTCCAAAACAAATCTCGAGGAGATTCCTGGAAAAGAGCAGCAACAAAAGAAGAACAACGTCAGCAAGGATCTGCGCAAACTAAAAAGCCTCGAAGACAATCTGGCCAGGATTCAAATGATGCGCGAGAACTACGATGCCGGCGATGAGATCTCCGAGGAGCTGCTCAAAATGGAGTCTCTGTTTCTCATGCAACGCAACGCCATAATGGACAAGTATCGCAAACAGGAACTGAAGAGCAATGCAGCTGAGGACCAACAGCCACTAGAAGAACAAGAAGCACCTCCGCAACCAGTGGAGGTTGAAAAAGTCACCTTGCCTGTAAATAACATTTTTAATGCGAATCGTGAGGCCATAAAGCTGACCATCTCGCCCCTAAAACTCACAAGAAAATCGGCTATTTTCGACAGGGATGAACCAGAGCAACCGGAACCATCCAAACCTGCAGAAGAGCCGCCTAAGCCAGCGCTGCAAAAGCCACCTAAGGAGATTGCCATTGTGAAACCCACTATTGTCGAATCCCGATCGAAGCCCAGGATATTGAGGAGTCCACCACCGCCTGCTCGTCGCAGGTCTCGATCGCGTTCTATCTCTAGAAATAGAGCTCGTCGTCGTGGCTCCAGACCCAAGACTCGTTCCCCAAGTCCACGACGCTGGCGTCCTCCGTCGCCAAGAAGGGGATCCAGATACGCAAAACGAATCGTTGGCATAACAGCAGGAGGAATGAAAGTGGGACGAAGTCACAGCAGGAGTTTAAGTAGGAGTCCAACGCGGAGCAGGAGTCCGACCAGGCGGAGACGTCTGCCACCGATAGTTGGGAAGAGAAAACGTGGTTCGTTGTCTCCCATTCCATCCAAAATGGGTGGACCACGTTCGCCACCTCCTCCCCCGCCTGCGTCACTCCCTCAGTCGCGACAGAGAGCGGGATCGCTTCTCCCGCTCGCGTTCGCCGCTGCCCTTTAAGCCACCATCGCCGCCCATGCGACGCAGTTGGTCCAAATCCCGTTCACCAGCCAGAAGAAGATCCTATTCCAGATCGAGATCCCGCTCCATATCACCCAAAGGCGGCAGTTTTGCAAACTATTTCGAGGAGAACCAGGGCATGGAGGCGGCTGCCTACTACTACAACATGTCACTGATGCAGCAGGAAGATCAGGATACAATGGGCGAGGGCTATGATGCGTATGCCGCATACATGGACTCCGCCTACAACATGGAACAGGCATATGCCCAGTACACCGAGGATTACTCTAATTCGTATGCTGATTACATGGGAGAAATGAGCACTGCGTCATTAACTCAACCGGCGGGTTCAGTGCTAAGGGAACTGCCCATGGCACCGATGGCTTCCATAACACCGATACCTTCTGTGGCTCAGATGCCTTCAATGACACCGATAATTCCCACGGCATCGGTGTTGCCTGTGGCAGTGCAAAAGGGAAATGTCTTGGAGATTGTGCCTTCCGGCGAGGACTTAATGGAACCGCAGGAGAATCCACTGCCAGCTGAAGCAGAAGAGCCAATTGAGGAGTAAGTTCTAATGATTAGAAAGCCTTAAAGTTAAAAAGCTTATTATGAACCTTTTCTTTTCTAGTAAACCCAAAAGGAAAACCGTGAACTTTGTGGACAATGTGCTACCCACTTATGAGAGCGAAAACGAAGATCGCGGCGTGGTTGCCATGGTGGTGGAACGGGCATTGCGCCAATATCAGGAGAGGCGGTCGCAAGCCGCCGCCAAGCTGCAGCAGGTTCGCGACGAGCTGCTAGCTCTGCCACCACCACCACCGCCTATGACGCCCAAGCCAGCCAATCTAGAGAAGCCCGTTTTGGTGCAGAAGAAGCCCAAGTTCCGGTACTTCCATTTCGATTTCATCAAGGGAGCGATAGTGAAGTCGCACTCACGAGTGTTACGTTCAGCAAACCGGCCGCCTTTCGATCCAAAGCACTTTGCCATGCTGATGAAGACCGGTCGGTTGCCACCGCTTCCGCCTGGATTCCTTCGCCACCGCCCGCCAATTATTCCCGCTCATGTGGACCCTGCCACGCGGTCGGCGATGCTGAAGGAGTTCTTCAGCAAGCATCCGCCGCCGTCGCTACCGATGCCCCTGCCTATTCCGGATGGGATGCCCTATTACCTGAGCGGACCACCGCCGATGCCAAGTGCCGCTGTACACTCCCCTGTGCCTGTTAGCGAACTGCCTCAGCCCATTCCCGTGCTGGATGGAAGTGGTTATCAGGGCTATACCCAGCCGGCGAGCATGGTACCAACGCCGGTTCCGGTTCCCGTTCCTCTACCCGTGCCGCTACCTGTGCCCGTGCCTGTTGAAGCGAACCCTTCGCCACCGCCTGCGATTAGAGCTCCTTATTTCACACCGCCACCTCTGCCTGAGCTGCCAGCTCTGCCCGAATTGCCGTCTCAGTTCGCTGATAACTCTGTGCCCACCATGACAGAGATAATGCCCGTGGATATCCTACAGAAACTGGGTCCGCTGCCAAAAACTTTAGATGTAGACGACGGAGGTGGAACAGGCAGTCCTGAGGAAGAAAACTGCGATCTCAAGGAGACCGAAGCGGAGTCAGTCGAACAGCCAGTGGTGGACGTTAAGCCGCAGCTCCTTGTGGAGTCCCAGTAGCGCAGATCCGTCTCCTCTTAGTTTGATTTATTAGCCAATAGTCTTTTTTAGATAATTCTCTTTAATTATAAACAATCCACATGTTTACATGAAACTCCTCTAAAATTAAGCTCAAGTTTACTTTTTAAAGTTTTGTTTTTAATTTTTTTATTTTGACCATAAGCAAAACGCATTTATCGATTAAAAGTCTTGTTAGGTTTATTCAGCTATAAGTTTGTATGTCACTAATATATAATTCGACTTGGACTCAAGTCCAATGATTTCTATAAGAAAATAAAAATGTAAATAGTTCAAGCAGCTTATGAATTATTCATGGATTACCATTCGGCTTTACACAACATTGCAATCATGTATGAGTCATCTATTATAACGAAATGTTTTTCGAATATTGTAATATTAAAATTTTTAAATTCGATTGTATGTGGTTTTTGTAAAGTGAGGTTTTAAAACTACGGGCATTGTGTGAATGTTTCTCGTACAAAATACAGACATGAAATACAAAAACTTAAGTTTATGCGTTTAATGAATCGGAGTATATACTCGAAAGTAAAATAGTTTTACTATTCTATTTAATTTGTTTGATTACTTAACATTACTTTGATTTATACGAACATTTTTTTTGAAAGATATGCTAATTTAGAATGTATACAATTTTCTCAGATTTGCCTCCTTTGAGGAAGGTCCATTTATTATTGCGATTCCTTTTTACTGCCTTCAAATCTCCCGAGGTGTCAAAACCAATGGAAAACATTTTGCTGGCAGTGCCAAACTTTCTGGACTGATCTTAATTGTCGACAGATCATTGCTGCTGACATTATATCTCTGCATTATGTTAACCAAAATCAGAAAACCGAAACCTCTAACTAAATTCTGACCGATGCAAGTCCGCTTTCCGATGCTAAAAGGCAGGAAATGGGGAATATTCTTCCGAAGCTGTAGTTTCTTCTTATCGCTTTCAATTCCCGAATCGGAACCTTTGGAATTTTTTGGGCTTTGCTCGTTTGGTTTCTCCAGAAATCTTAATGGATTGAATTCTTTTGGGTGGACCCAATACTCATCGCTGTTGTTTAGCACATAATTGTTGATAAACACAATGGTGCCCTTTGTTACTCCATAGCCAGAGATAACTGTATCCTCTGTGGCCACATGGGGAACAATCGGAGAGGATGAATATCGTAGAACCTCAAAAATAGTGGCCATCGTGTAGGGCATAGAATTCATATCCAGAAGACTTATTTGTCTTTTTTCCTCCGTTGTAATGGCGTCGATTTCCTCCTGGATTTGTTTTCCTATATGCTGATACTTAGCAATATAGGCTAGTACCATCATCACCAGATTTCCCACCGCCGAGTGTCCGCCGATGAAGTCCTCCAGCATAAATATTATCGTATTCCGAGAGACTTCTTTATCCTCAATGAGGCTTTTTAGTAAAGCATCTGTAAAGTCTCTATCTGGTTCATCCAAATCGATATTCAGCTCCCGTTGACAAATAATCCTTTCCATTATAACTTTCCTGATGGTCGATGACCAATTGACTATTTTGTTGAGGTGCCGCTGATAAAAGGGATACAGCCAAGGTAAGAAATCTAGTGGGTGTCCCTGATTGATTTCCCAAAAGATCTCATCAAAGTACTGCACCATTATCTGGAAGTCCGCATCATCGTAGTCGAATCTCAAAGAGCACATATACTGACTAAACATGTTTCCACAGGCCTTCAGAATCAGAGGTTTCAATTCAATGGGTTCTCCAGGAATCATTCGACTCCTCAGCTCCCGATTCCAGTGCTCCATTTCGTCGCAGCCAATTTGGGACATTTTCATGTAGAAGGCTGAGGATTCCCTTGGCGAACAGTGCCGCCTGGCGAGATTCCTCCTTTTCTGCTGCAACTGTGACCAATCGCAGAGTGCCAAGGAATTGCTCCTCTCGCCTCCGAATAATTTGTGATATCGTATAAAATCCGGTCGGCCACTTATTACTTTGCCATTTTGATTTAACACCTCACGGATCAGCTCCAAATTATTCACCACCAAGCAGCGTGTGTGTCCGAAAGTCAGGGAGTATATATCACCATATTGTTTGGCCAACTCGCTGAATCCCGCGAAGGGATTATCTCTATAGCGATCCAGCAGATGTAGGTTTCCAATGATGGGCCAAGGTCGAGGTCCTGGAGCTTGCTTAAATTTTTGATTAACTATCTCATTTGATAGAGCTGGTTTTTTATTTTTAACTGGATGAACAACGCGACGCATGAATCCATAAAAAATGAATATGTATGACGGGACTACAAGAGTAAGTCCAACTGCCAAAACCGTATAAGCCAGAACAGCCAGCATTTTCGCGTAGTTCTTGAGAGTACAGAGTTCAAAACACAACTAATGATGGTAAGGCGAACCAAGTAAGCAGGTCAACTTTATCCTAATCCTTTGGGAAAACAAAATTAACATCTGTAGGCAGACATAGTACCTGCTCTTCAAGTAGGTTGCTACCTGTTTGTTTTGGTTCCAGTTGTTTTCCCATTTAAAGGGCAACATGAATCATCAGGATTCTTTCAGTTTATTTATTTTTTGGTATCACAAATAAATATTAGCGTTTTGGTTTTCCCCTGTTTTAAGATAAAATGTTTTCTATCCTTTTATTATATTGGTATTTTATTTGCTATGACTTTCCCTTAATTATATGCAGTGTACACTTCCCTCTGGGCTATTTCTAAACTTTACGTCTTTTATTGAGTATTCCGTTCGAGTATGGAACTTTTAATGGGCTCTTAATTACTCATTAAGTTTGTCCTTGGCAAAGGGTCCAATGTTGGCCGCATAGGCCATCATGGCTGGGATGGCACTCTGCTCGTAGTTGCCAGTGAAAAGATGTTCGAAGGGTCCCGAAGCGAAGACTCCAACATCTTCGGCACCGTGGGTTTCACTACTCAAGGGAACGGTGGCCTGGAAAGCAAACTCCTCGTTTGTAGTGTCCACATGGGAAAGATCTATGCGTCCAGTATTGGAATTGTAGGTATCGACGAAACCAGGACCATTGGCATAAGAAAGAACCGTGAAAGGAAGATCATCCTCAGCCAAATTGGGAGCGAGGGACAAAATGTTTTGACGACGGTACTAAAAGGAAAGTTAAAAAAATTACAAAATTATAAAGTTTGTTTTACAGAAATTTTGCAGAATGGATTTTGTTAATTATTTCGAAATTTTATTGAGTAACTTAAGATTATTTCCATTACTCACTGGGTAGCCATTGATGGACATGGTGTGCGAGTGATCCGAGGTAACCACAATCAGAGTCTCCTCATCGTTGGTCATTTTTCTAGCCAATTCCACGGCCGCCGCGAACTCTTCGGTATCCTCGAGAGCCTTCCTCGCCTTGGTGGCATGGTGAGCCATATCGATTCTGCCGCTCTCGACGAACAGGAAGTAACCCTCCTCGTTTTTGCTAAGCAATTTAATGGCGGCTTCAGTCATATCGGAAAGGGATGGCTCTGCTTCTTCATAGTGGGTTCGTCGACGATCGCCGTGATAGGGCAAATGGGAGGTATCGAAAAGTCCCAGCAGATAGTCCGTCTTGCTGATATCGGTTTCCTTAAGACCCTTGAGAGACCAGACATACTTTCCCTCGGCTCCCTGCTGCTTCTTGATCTCCTGCCAGTCGTGCACCAAATCCCGACCATCGGTTCGCAGGCCCGCAACGCCAGTCTCATCGGGCATAGATCGATCACGGAAGTAGGATCGACCACCGCCAAGAATAACACGAAGTTCCTGACCCACTGGCCACTCCACCAGTTGGCGGGCAATATCCGTGTTAATATCTGGACTGCACCCTGAGTCAACGATCTCGCCATCGTGCTCCCAATTCCGTTCAGCAGCATGGGCATAAACTCCGCCTGGAGAAGCATGTGTCACCCGGGCAGTTGTGACTATACCAGCCCACTTTCCGGCATCCTGAGCCCATTTGCCAATGCTCTCCACATGGTTACTCGAATTCGTCACACAATCGCCCCTTTGGACCTGGGCATTTACACCAAGGGTTCCGTAGTTGGCCTTTACTCCGGTTAAATAAGCCGTAGCTGTGTTGGCCGAGTCCGGAGTGCGTTCATTCACCGCATACGTTTTGGACAGTCCCAAGTAGGGGAACTTTTCGAAGAAGACCTGCTTGTTGCTATCGCCCATGAAAGCACGAGTGGCTGCGATCGTGTGGACAGACATGCCATCGCCCAAAAATAGGATCACGTTCTTGGCGCGGTTTTCATTTAGCTTTTTATGCCCGGCCAGCTTATCGGCCAGAATCGATTGGGCCTTATCATGCCAAAAACGTGTATTCAGCTCCTCGTCGAGGGCTTCAAAGTCTCGTGATGATAGCAATCGGGGATGTTGGGCTGCAAAGTCCGAACTTTCGGTTAGCAACTAATCGGCGGAAAATTTGGTCTAATAAAACTACATTTTTAAGTGGTAAACAAGTTTTCTGATCGTATTAGATTAGATCTAAAAATCTGTTTTAATAATAGCTGTTTATGGGTTTTTCAGCTATCGCCTAATCGCATTAAAGCTGATAAAACTTTATTGAAACGTGCTAAAAACGTTTTATACTGGGTTTTAATTTCATCACGCGATTATTATGCATCATGCTGATGATGTTTAAACCGAAAACAGCTTAATTTTCCTCAATAAACTTTATAGGAGTATTAACTTGCATTGGAACTATGTCTACAAACCCGAAAATTCTAACTTTTACTTTACTATTTATTAAGCTCTGTAAACCATAAGCTTATTTTTTAAATAAATACCCAATTAAATTGAATGGGGTTAAACTAATATATGAATTATAAATAATCGTCATTTAAACTATAATACCAATTAAGCACTTTTAATGTCAATAAACAGTACATATATTCTTTCCATTATCTCTCCTAATTCACTTCACGTGAACAACAGGGTCGTAAATCGAAATGACTCGTCATTGACTGAACGCTTACAAAAATAGATCTAGATTAGCCAAGTCAAATGAGAGAACTAATAAGAGTTTTGATAAGCAAAGTGGGCTCTTCCTATTGGCCAAAGATAAGCTTGGGGCCCTAAACGAATCGGATTCGTTCGGGTGCTCTTTTCTTATTCGCAGCACCTTTCGGTTCCACTTACCATGTTCTTGCTCATCGGCCAGATCACTCCGAACTTGGAGGAACAGTAGAGCGAAAAGGCACAAGATTAGACAACTCTTTCCCATTTTTAGAAGGCGGTAACTTAAGACTGAGAAATGCTCGGTTCGAGAGTGACCGCGAGACTGGCCAAAATAGAGGAATTGGCCCTGTTATATAGCCTCCGATTTTCGCAGTATTCTTCCTGTAATATACATACGCATTATATATGATTGTTATTGTGATTTGAGCAATCTAAAGTGGTCGATCGATTAATTATCTCAAGTGCCTAAAAACGTGAGTATCACGGTCTGGCCAAGTAGGTGTCGTAAATTACCCGATTCCCAAATGTGCCCTATCGACCGACTCCTCACACGAGCTGCACCTGATGGTATATTAATGGGTCTCATGTGCCTTGGGAGTACAGTGTTCACTTGGCTGGCGCAGTGAAAGCATCTCGAAAATGCTGAGTCTTAAGTTCCTAACTTTCCTTGGCCTGCTGGCCATCGTTTGGAGTGCCGCCGTTCCTGGAAAGGCTCCCGTCGATGAGGAGCGAATGCATCCCCATCTGCCGACTAGTCCAAGATTGCGTGCGATTTCTGGAGAAGAAACCCAAGAGTTTTGGCACTCGGCTAGCAAGAAACTCATCCGTGAGAAGCTGGAGTTTGTGAGGAACACGAAGAAGGCCAAGAACATTATCCTGTTTTTGGGCGATGGCATGGGCTTGGCTACTTTGGCTGCTGCAAGGAGCTACATTGGTGGCGAGGAACTGAAGCTCTCCTTCGAGGAGTTTCCCTTCACCGGTCTGTCGAAAACCTATTCGGTGGATAAAATAGTTCCCGACAGTGCCTGTACTTCAACCTCGTACCTTTGTGGAGTGAAGGCCAATTACGGCACCATTGGCGTGAATGCCCACGTGAAACGAGGCGATTGCTTGGCCATGGCCAACGAAACGAACCATGTTTTCTCCCTGGGAAAATGGGCCATGGATGCGGGAAAAGCCGCCGGACTGGTAACCACCACTCGAGTGACCCACGCCTCTCCATCTGGCGTCTACGCCCATGTCGCGGATCGTGAATGGGAGAACAACGCCGTTTTGGAAGAAGACTGCGGTGAGCTCGCTGAGGGCCTCCAGGACATTGCTGTCCAGTTGATCCACGGCGAGGTGGGAAGCAAACTCAAGGTTATGTTGGGCGGAGGCAAGCGAAGCTTCTACAGTCCGGAGCACTACGACAAGGGAAGACGCACGGATGGCCGCAATCTCGTCGAGGAGTTCGAGGCCTTGGATGCGGGCAACACCTTTGTGAAAACCCAGAAGAAGCTGCTTAGTGTGAATGCCACCGAAACTGGACGATTGCTGGGCTTGTTCAGCAAGAGTCACATGCACTATCACCTGGAACAGCTGGCCGATCCGGAGAACAACGAACCCACGCTGGAGGAGATGACCCAGAAGGCCATTGAAGTGCTGGAAACCGAGGAGCAGGGATACTTCCTTTTCGTCGAGGGCGGCAAGATTGATATCAGCCATCACGACACCATGGCGCGGATTGCTTTGGATGAGACCGCCGAGCTCTCGAAGGCGGTGAAGAAAGCCAGGGAGATGACCGATCCGGAGGAGACCCTCATTGTGGTGACCTCGGATCACTCGCACACGTTCAGCGTTTCGGGCTACCAGCCGCGAGGAAGCGACATCTTTGGGGCGGCCAAGGCGAAGGGCCAGGATGGCAAACCCTACTTGGCTTTGAGCTATGCGAATGGCAAGAGTTTCGAGGACTTCTACAACACGGAAACCCACCAGCGCGAGGATCCCACCAGTCTGCTCACAATGTGGTGACTTTGATCAGCTCTTCCCCGCGATGGTTCCCCTGACATCGGAGACTCATGGCGGCGAGGATGTCGGTGTCTTCGCCTCGGGTCCCTGGGCTCACCTCTTCACCGGAGTCTACGAACAGAACACCATTCCTCACATGATGGCCTTTGCCGCTTGTGTGGGCGATGGACTAACCGCCTGCGATTAGAAATCAGGAGTTGATTGACAGGCCGAAGGACCCTTAATTAACTTGTCACGTACGCTTTATCGTTTTGAATGAATACTCAAGTCTCGACAGGTGCAAGCTAGCATTGGCTCTCGAGAAAAGAATTTAGATCAGGGATTTCTCGCACATTCTATAAGAAGTGTTTCCCTATCAACGTAAAAACCAAAATACACTTAAACTGTCTGATTATACGCAATACAAACAACGTCGATTAAAACTATAAGTAACATTTTAATTTTGTATACTTTGACTTGGGGAGGTATGGTGTGATCGGGATTAGCTTTCAAGATTTGTATCTATCAATTTTTTGTTAAGTACCTTTTCAACAAGGGGCTTACCCTCTGCAAAAAATGGTTCACTATCAATGTCAAAAAGCACATTCATGTCTGATTATTGGGAGACATAACGAAAGGAGTTAATCTAATAAAATGTTAAAAATATGTTAATTTTTTACTCTAATTTAAGAGGGTGATAAGAAAAAAGCATGGTTGTTTAAGGCTTATACCTGCTAACTTTAGTCTGTCTAGTTTGAATTTTAAAATCTAGAATCTAGATAATTAGCGGGTGGAGCCGAAAAAAATAAATAATTTGAGGGCTACCTGTCAACTAAGTGTATATTAATCAGATCAAAAGATAACGCTTTTGTCTGATAAAGATTAAATTGAGTGCAAAGAGTTAAAAGTTGTAGAATGACGTACAGATCTCCATTAAAAGAAAGGCGTTAAAACTACAAAGAAAAAAATTATCTGAGAACTGATTCTAAGAACTAGTATTTTTCAGCTTCATCGACAGAATAAATCAGTTTACAGGGCCGGAGAAACAGTTTTGAGTGGGGTGATGACCTCACAAATTTTCAATAGCCAATCAATCAAAATGGAACAGGTAAAAAAAACTATTTTAAATGTAAAATGTTAATAAAAATCCATTTAATATTAATGTAATGTTAATTTAATGTTAAAATAATGTTAATTTAATATAATGTAAATGTAATGTTAACTAAATGTTAATTAATTTAATATGGCCACGTCAGCGACAATGATAATTAATTATTTTTTTCGTTTTCTCGCACCTATAATTCCCAAGTGGTTCTGGCTGATTCGTAGTGGGATACCCCTTGATTTTGGCCAATTTCTCAGTTCTCCGGGATGACCGGCAGTTTCTCTCAGAAACTTTTTCCGGTCTCTGGAAGTGTATGTGTGTGCGTGTGTGTTAGTGACGTGGTTCCAGAGTGGGAGAGAGTATCTGGCCAACTCCTCCTACTGGAGTCCGCTCCAGGATGCAGTGCATCATGGGTCGACTCCTCCTACTGGAGTCCACTCCCGGATGCAGTGCACCATGGGTCGACTCCTCCTACTGGAGTCCACTCCCGGATGCAGTGCACCATGGGTCGACTCCTCCTACTGGAATCCACTCCCGGATGCAGTGCATCTTGGGTCGACTCCACCTACTGGAGTCCACTCCCGGATGCAGTGCACCATGGGTCGACTCCTCCTAGGATGCACTGCATCATGACCTGACTTGGCATGAACTTAAAGGTGCCCGATCCCTTCCTGCATGTAGTGGACTCCAGGATGCAGGGCATCCAAAACTGAAAAGGTGAGTTGCAGTTTTTTTTAATTATGTGATGACGTGGCTTTTGTAAAAAAAATGCAGTTAATTAATTCAATTTTTTTTAATATTTTTTTTTCAGGTTTTTGGTTGTGTATTTGGCTGATTGCAGAAAATAATTGGTGACACCATCCAACTTGTAACTTGAAGTTCGACATCAGGATGCACTGCACCAAAGTTATTACGCAGTGAGTACATCCTTTAGACAATAAATAATTAAGTTATATATTTTAAAAAATCATAAATATTTTGACAAAGAAACTAAAAGAAACAGATAAAGATCTGAAAGTTTTCAAGAACATGAAAGAAATTTGAAAGGTAAATTTTATCAAATATTGAACTTGAAGTACATGAAAATCAAACACAATTAATAATTGTAAACAAGTAGCGACATATAATATAAATATATGTAGTATATATATAGTAATAGTTGTAAGAATGCGGTTACCGGAAATATATAGTATGCTGACACCACATAAATGGACTGGACAACAGGCTGCAGGATCAATTATGAATGGCGTGATCTTCTATTGAACTCCACTCCAGGATGCAGTGCATCACCTCATTGGGGTATGTATTTTTTAAACAACCGATTTGTATAAAATAATTTAACTAATATTTTGGAATGCTTCTTTTCATTACAGTGATGACTATTCCGTTCTGCTTGGAGTGAACTTCAAGATGCAGTGAATAAAAAACCCAAAGAGGTAAATACCTTTTTTTACTAACAAAATAATTCTAACTATTATTATTTGTAACAAATTGTTTATTATTTTTTTGTTTCTTATTTAATTTCAGGGTAAAGTGTTAAGTGTTAATGTTGCGAATAAAGTGGTTGCGGTGATTATCTTACTTCAAGAAGACGAAAGATTGCAGTGCAGATCAAGGAGCTAACTGAGTAAGTACCAATCTGAAAAGATTTATTTATGATAATCTCATAATTATTCAAGTAGTTTTTACATTAAGTTGGAAAATGCTTAACTTGGGAAGTATTTGGGAGAGTTACTATCTATCTATTTAAATAGAAACTGATTTAATTGGGCTGTGGTAAAGGCGGGATTTCTCTTCGTTTTTCTTCGATATACTCTATATGCAGGGCCGGAGAAACAGTTTTGAATCATACATTCAACTGATAATAATGGATGTAAATAAATTTTTTTCTACAAGTCAAGCATTTTGGGGTGTTGAATTCCACACCCGCTAAGATTTGGCGTGTGGAGTGCTCAACACCCGGTATACACCTTCCGCCGGCCCTGTCAGTTTAATACAAAAATGATAAACTCTATAAACGGTTGGAAATACAACTTTAAGTAGACCAGACTGATATAACTCGATTGTGTTTTCTCAGAAATTCAATTGTTTATCAGAATGATTAGGCAGGCAGCCAGTCGAGTTTGTTAATAAAATTGTTTGTAGTTGTGGCAATTGCATATTTCTTGTGAATTTTTTGATTATGTTCTGTTTATGTTCTGCGTTTTCATTGTTGACAATTGTCACTGTGAAGACTCATTGGGGAATACCCTATCAAGTACTTCTATTTATAGTAACTGCGTGATTTTAACAAATGTATTCTCTGTTTACTCTGAGTACTTGTATCAAGTATGTACATATATACATAAAAACAAATTAGCAAGACTCAAGCTTTAAATAATTTTTGCAGTTCTTAAACTATCTCTGAACGAAAATTTCTAAGCAAACCCAATTCAAATTGAATCCGAAATCAAATCCAAGTTTTAGAATATTGTTAGACATTATCAGTACTGTTTTTATTAAACTTTTTAACTAACTCCTATCTCAACTTTTTGTTTTAAATAATTACCGCATATTGATTAGAACTACGAGGTGTGACGAGCGAGGCATACTTCTCCTTCAGTTCGACCAAAGCCCGCTGAAAATTATCCATGCTGTCTTCCAGCTGGTTGGGATTGTGCAGCGTACTCTTGGGTGTGAGTAGGGCATCGTGGGATCTCTCACCCAGAAGCAGAATCCTTCGCCAATCGGTGGCGTCGGAGCTACCTCGCAGGAAGTCCTTGCGATTGCCCACCGCAAAAACAGTATCTTCTATGTTATCCGGCAGTAAAGTGGGCTGCGAATTTCCCAGATCTCCGTTCGTGGGTTGAGTGGGACCCACGGCAGGTGGTGTTATCCCCGACAGAGATGCCGAGGTGGGCTGAGGCTGTTGGTTTTGAGCACTATTACCTTGGTTCACCGGTGCTTCGAATAGACCGCTTGGCAGATTCTGCGGTCGGTCGATCTGAATCACCTGACCATCGGGTGAGATGTGATAGAACTGTGCCCGCCCAGTTAATCCAGTTGTTGTTGTTGTTCCTGCAGGGATGACTATAATGTTGCCCACAGCGGTGGAGCCAGCGTTAGCACCACCAAAACCACCATTACCAGTAACCGCCGGTGTGGAAACAAAAGGTGGAACAGGCACTCCACCGAAGCCCCTTATAGGTGGAGCCGCCGGACAGGGAAAACAATAGCCAGGAGGACCCGGTGGTCCTGGCAAGCCTCTGGGACCCTGAATATAGGGAAGATTCGGGGAAAAAGGTCCACCGGGTGGATAGCCCCAGTAACCAGCACCACTTCCTCCCAGACCATTGCCATTTGCCGGAGGCCCAGGCGGACCAGGAGGTCCTCGTTCGCCCGGAGGTCCAGGATCACAGGAGCACTTCACCAAAGAGGCGTGAGCGGTAGAGAAAAGGCCTGCGGAATAAAAGTATTATATTATTTTCTAAAAATTTAAATTAACCTCTTAAAACTCACCTAAGACCAAGACAGCTAGAAAACCAAGAAAACTCATGATGCTGTTTGAGAACGACTTCAATTCAATCTGACCTGAACCCAAAACTCGGCAGCAGCTTTTATAAGCCCGAAAAAGTAACCGACCAAATCAAATGAGTTGACAAACATTTTAATATGCTTATAAAAACCAAAATTATCTCAAGATCGAACTCACAACACATTTCCCGCATTTTTCTAACTGTTCTCGGCCCACAATTGAAAGGGAAATGTTAAACAGATCAAATGGAAAAATGCCATAACCCGGTCTATCGCTGACGTTTATGATAATTTATGCAAGAAAATAATAGTCGAACATCATTAGGCTGCAACCAAGCCCTTTTAACTGGGTCAGCAGGGTTCTTGAGCAAACAATCATCGGTGAAGACTTCGAAAATGCATCAATGTCAATCAAGTCGTAAACTGCGATTAAATCTTACAATTTATGTTAATAAATGTGGGCGCTAGCCATCAAAATAACACGAAGACATTTTGATCACTGAAAGTAAATACTTTCATCGCCTTTCGAAAGGAAAAGAGAATTCTAGAGACCTTCTTTCGAGCGCCGTTGAACTCCCCATGAGCCAGAATTAGCATAAATTACGAAATCAATATGTTCCGAATCAGGTTTCACTGCCCAGAGGAATCAAGTAAAAGGTTCTACGACATTTCCGACTTATCTAAGAATTTCATTGACAAGACGAAGCCCCCGAGAATACGCGTCACTAGCGTCACTCGTCCAATCTGTAAGTGTCCACTTCCAAACGAGCGCCATTCTCTTGAAAACTTGTGGCATTGGGCCACTTGTGTTTTAGCTAGCCGGAGAAGACTAGATTTTGGACTGATCTAAATTCTTTAAATACCATAGGAGAACTTCTGTTCTAAACTTGTATATGATTTTCAAACAAGAAAAATAATAGGTAACAAATTATAATCAAATATTTTTTAACCGGAAATTACATATCGGTCTTTATCGTCTTTTCGTAAATATTTTAATCTTATAACGTTATATACGTATTCAAGTACGTAAGTCCTCTATAAACCTATCACTAAGTATAAGAATCGAAGAAAGCTTTATCACTTCTGTTGTCATGGAATAATCCCAAAGTACTTGATCCGTCCCCCTTTTTTTTTGGCACTGTTTGACTTAAGCAAACAACATTAAGAATGTGCAAACCGGCAATTGGTCCCCTAATAAATGAGCAGATAAGCTTTCCGAAACAATTAAATGAAAAAAATCGTAAAGGAAAACCGCTTGAGTGGTTTGCCTCCCAAACATTAAAAAACAATTTGAGGGTCAATGCTATTGAGCTGATCAAGAATCGATCAAGTCTTAACAATATTGATGTTTGATTATGATCGAAATGAAATGGAGAGGACATCAAAGCAATAAACATTTGTAGTGGTTTTATATATTGAATTTATTATTAGATTATCGACTATTGCTAATCAGCACATTTCTTGCATCGTACATAAACGTAATTGGCGCAAACAAGTTCAAGTCACATTTGTTGCAATTGCATAGATTGATAAGTTTTCTAGGCAAACAATTTTTATCAAAATAATATTGTATACGGTATGCAAGCATACGCAAACGCAAATGCACATATAATGCAAAAAGTTCTTTTCGGAATTTAAAAATGTTGTTTTCAAATATGACCTTTTTTGATATTTAAATTTTGTTGTGATAATCCAATTAACATAAAGATTGTTGTAAAAATTAAGTACAGAAAAGAAAAAATGCCAATTTAGGTTTTTTATGAATGGTTATTTTCTGAAATGGAGATTCCAATTCAAACAGAAAAGATTAATAATTTATCCTTATATCTATAAGAACGTAAATGCAACCAACTGAGCTTTCAAATTACAATGAAATCTTTATGTAGTTTTTGATTCAAAGATCTTTTTTAACATAACTGTCCTATAATTCCGAAAAGCAATATTTTTGAAAAATATGTGCCTTGGGTATACATACATTGTTAAACTGAATATTTAATCTTTGGTGCGAATACATTGGACTGGCATTCATTTTCACACCAACATGAGAAGTGAGAAACTCAAAGATACGGAGTGAGGAGAGCTAACTGGAGCAAAAGTTAACACACAGAACTAAAACTCTACTCAATAAATACAAGTGTAAATCGATTAGGATGATATACAGATCTGGGGGCGGGGTGCGGCGAATTGAGTCGCTCTTAGTCTATTTTCACATTGGAATAGATTTTGCGCACGAAGAGATTCGTGCCCACATAGCCGACGGTGCCACAAATAATTCCCAAGGCGCCGCTAAAGAGGGCCATGTAACCAAAGTAGAAGGCCGTTTGGAACAGACCAAACATTCTGAAAGAAAAAAAATGAGATATAAATAATTATTGTAAAGTTTTTACAAAAAGGACACTTACTTGGTTTTAAAGAAGAAGTAATAAAATGAGTAGGCATAAACGTAAATTGACGTAGAGCCCGCAGCCATGAAACTCGTCCATTGCCATCGGTAGTCCTCCGCATTTAGCAGGAAGTATGTGCACACAATGGTTACACACACCGTCACCACAGTCAGGATACTGAACACCAGCAACATAAAGCCATAGACATAGTAGATCTTGTACGCCCAGAAAGAGGTAAAGATGAAGTACCTGCAGGGAAGATAAAAATGAATATATAAAATAAATTTTTAAACAACTAGTCTTATCAATTTGAGAATGATGACTCAATGAGCCATTATAGGGTTAACTTTCAGATAAGAGTACTTACTGGGCAACATTTTTTTTAGTATTTAGAAAATACTCTCCACTACATAAAAAGAACTTATAGTTTAAGAATAAGTACTTACATCTCAATGAAGATGGATCCAAAGGGCAGGACACCGCCGAGAAGTACGATAATCAGCGGCTCCATGTACCACTTCTTTTCGGGAATAGGTCGTGGCACTGCGTTTACTCGGCAAGGGAAGTCCGGCTGGCCATCCAGATTGCGGCCCACCACTGTACCCACCAAAGTCAGAGGCAGGATCACAAATAAGCAGATGCAGGTGACGGCTACCATGGTGCCAAAGGGAATGGCTCTCGAGGCGTGATAACCGATGGCAATAAAATTGATCAAGAAAGCTGTGCCACAAACAGCCACTGGAACCGTAAAAGCGGACACCAGCATCTGACGGATCCACATTCGCCCACCCAATCGGGCATAGAGCGATCCTCCAAAGTATCCATTGATCGGAGAAGTGGCAGCGTACACAAATATAGCCGTGGACAACATTGAGCCGCGTTCTGTGTACAGTTCTCCAACAATGGCGAACATGATCACACAAAAGACCACCGAAATCAATTGGTAACCAGCTCCGACCAGAGCCGAAAAGAGCAGCGTATTTGGTGGCGAACGGAAAACATCACCGTGAACCTGTTTCCATCCGTACTCATCGCCCAAATCTCGCTCCATATCGTCCACCTCCTCGTCCTTGCTGTACCGAGCGTAATCCTTGCGCAGAGTTCGCATCAAGATCATGGATACGAGACCAACCAGGAAGATGACCATCATAAAACTGTTGAAGATGCTGAACCAGTGGATCTGAAAAGGATTTACATTTTAAAATGAGTCGTTAGATAGGGCAATTCGTAAGATCTGCGTGCTCTCTCTTTTACTATAAATGTTTAAATTTTTAAACTGACTATTCAGGTATTAGCCAACCAAATTTCGATGCTCTCTGACATACAGGTCTGATCTTAAAACTTGAAAGGTCATTAAGCGAGATTTACTTAAGAAGTAGTAGTGGAAAAGTGGCTAAAGTTCAGTTGTGTATTGTCACATTCTGTTGCAATACGGTGTGATTCATTATTGACACCTACATCATTGTACTGATTAGCACTTTCTGCCATATTTAATACGCACCCTGTGCTGGAAGAAGTTGGGGTCCAGGTATTTGTCGAATCGGTTCTTGAACTCCACCTTGCTGGGCTTCCAGTTGACCTCGTAGGAGAAGTTGATGTGCGATCCCGGCTTGAGTTCCTCTCGAGCATCGGTGGTCAGGGTGATGTCCACGATTTGCTGGCCATTGTAGCCAATGTCGAATTTCTTGTGCGTGAAGATGTAGTATTTTCCATCTCGTTCGTCCCGCTCACCGACTTTTCCCCAGATGGGCAGCCCATCGATGTACATCTGGTACCAGTATTCGTTCTTCACGGCGTAGATGAAAGCTTTGGCGCTCTCCTCCTGCAAGGTGACCATGCATATGACCGATTTGGGGGCATCGTTCTTGAACTCCATTTCATAGCCACTAAACTCTAGTTCCACGCCCTGAAGGGCTTCACTCAGGGTCTCGTGGTAGTGCGAAATCGAAGACTTTTGGCCACTGCAGAAGGGCAGGGAAAAGTAGGCGTAGGTCTCCTGTCGATTGTGGTACGGACCCACAGTGTTCATCCAAAGGACCACCTCCTCCCGGTCATTGTACTATCCAGAAACATATATATGCATATGAGAGATATAGGTTGATTATATATAGCCCCAAACTCACCTTGTGATTGTGCTCGTCCGCTTGCGAGTGCGACACGTAGCAGCTGGCGATTAGCAGACATAAACAAATTGCTCGGAGTTGTGGCTGAGCCACCGTGGTTCTTGCTTTGGTGGTGCTGCTAGCCATTGTGGGTTGTGCAGGTGGTGATCTCGACTGCGCGACTTCCGGGTAACCTCGCTCTGCCGGCGTGCTTCGTTTGCCCCTCGCTAGATTGTCTTTCAAAACAATTTTTATGGCAAACACAGATTTGCCGACAGAGAAAAATATCTCGTAAACGTAAAGTCAGTTCATTTGTGCTGGTTCCGGTTCCTACGAACTAGCTTAAAGAACTAGAACACACGTCACTTGGCCAAAATGGGCGTTGTGCAACATTGTTTTTTTCGGATTAGTGAGGCCATTTATCTAATTTGGTTAAATGTAACACTATTTCAGGGGAGAAATATGTCCTCAAATCTTAGCGCCCCGGAAACTAAAATCGTGCCCTATTTCAAACCTCTCAACAGTTTGGAAAAGATTTCTGAAACAATCTGCGCTTAAACTTTTTTAGTCGGTGAAGGTCGATTTTTTTTACAGCTGTTTCTGTCAGATTTTTTCGAAATTTTCCATGGATCGCAAAATTAATTAACTAATTGATTAATTTTTTAAATACATACTGGTTAAGTTAGTTTGTACAAGTTTCGAAAAAAAATTACAAGCAAGTCCTATTCAAAAGTGTCATAAGTGAAATCATTTGTAATGGAAATTAAAAAAATTAATTTTTAATTTTATTTTAATTTATATTTATGTACATCTTAATAAGAGTTTTTTAATCCGGCGAATTCTTAGTCATATAGAAAGTTTTTATCTTTAACTCTGAGGGAGAGAAATTCTCGAATCAGTCATAAAAACCGCTTGTGTTGAGCGGTCGATTCTGTTAGATTCTGGACGACACAACTAAATACGATTCACTTTAATAATATATGTTAATATATATATTTATATAGATCAAGTGGAAAAGGAGGTAGAAAAGCCTTTTAAAAGCTTGTCCTTTATATATATGTATTAAATTCCTTTCTATTACTCATAAAAATTGTGAAAATAGCTACTAAGTTTTGCATAATCAGTAAAATTATTGTATGCGTGAAGGAAACTAAGCTAATTTGAATTCTTTCTCCATAAAATTATAAAACGATAAGAATTTAAAAATTGTTTTAATTATTATTAAATTTTCAGTTTTATTGCGAAAGAATGCGTTTACCAAGGATTTGGTTGGCCACAGTTCTGTTTGTGATGATACAAAGCTCGAGTGCGGAGATCATTGATTGCGATTTCTTCGATACCGTAAGTCTCTCGGCAGAACAGAGGCTCTCGGACGGATCCTATTCCTATAATGATGTAATTATTCCCGCAAATTTGACCGGAACATATGACTTCCGGATTTTGCCGGATGGCCGAAGAGAAAATGTCGCGATTCACATAAGAGGATGTATCTGTAAAGTAAAAACCTGTATTAGGTTTTGCTGTCCTCCCGACCATTTGTTTGTTGACAGCCAGTGCTTTAAAAACAATATGACAGAGGTCGAGCTGGATCCTTTTCTTAACGTAACCCTTAATGATGGATCGGTTGTGAAGAAGCACTTTGCAGACGACGTATTCGCACAATGGGATATTCCGATTCCTTGTGACTCGATTTTCTACCTAGACAATCGACAGGAAACGGATCAGTACAATTTATTCGAGGTTAATCCAGTTATAACTTATATCCTAAGTTTCGAGACTCATTAGTATTACCCTTTTCAGAACGGAACATTTTTACGCCATTATGACAACATGTTTATGGACAAAAGAGACTACTGCCTGCAGCATTTTCCTTTGGAGGACGAAAACAATATTAAATTCCTTAAAGTAACGCCCTTTAACTGTTTTTATGAAGAATCTTCAAAAACTGGACAAACCGTGGGTATGGTTAAACCAAAAGGTTTGTTTAGCAATTTTTAACAGCCTCTTTCCACAGTCGTCATCTCATCGCAAATTTGTATCGTTCTTACAATCACTGTGTATCTTATCGTTAAACCTTTGATGAATATTCAGGGGAAATGCTTTGTCTGCTACTTGTTTTGCCTTTTTATGAGTTACCTCTTCTTGTTGCTCGAGTTGTGGAGATTTTCGGATGAATTCTGCGTTGCAGCAGGTTGGCTAAATAATTTCTCAATTGCCTCATTAGCCACTAGAGGTTTAAGTGATTAAAGCTCTAGAAAATTCCGAGGCATCCCTTTAATTCTAAAAAAGTTGTTTTTTATGTACTCACCAGGATTCATAAGCTATTTTTTCATCATGGCCGCGTTTTCATGGCTGTCTGTTATTAGCTTGAATTTATGGAGATCGAGTTCCTTCCGCTCTGAGCCGCTACATCTCCTTCGGAACTACAGCTTTTCCGCATGGGGAATAGCGATGATATTGACAGGAGCCACCCTTTTAGCTTTTAAATTTGTGACCAATGAAGATTGGAATCCTCGTGTGGGCCACCAATATCACTGTTGGATCTACAGTGGGTTTCGGTTATACTTCTGATTGTATTGTGCCGTTTCACAGTTTTTATTTTACCCCACAGCTAAAGACTGGTCTGCCCTGCTCTACTTCTTTGGACCGATTCAGTTGCTTGTTACGCTCAACACCATCTTTTTTATCCTCACAGCTAAAAGAGTAATAATGGTGACAGGGGAGCTAATGAACAACTCTGAGAAACAGAAGTGAGTCCAATATTAACCTATTATATATCAATATAAAGTTTTTAGAAAAGATTGAAACCTTTTTGATTTGCCGGATAACTTTAGATAACTTTAAGTAAGAGCTTTCCTGTATATTTCAGTTTCATCTTCTTTTTTCGAGTCTTTATCGTCATGGGTCTATCTTGGAGCCTGGAAATATTTTCGTACTTGGTGCAAAACAATAACAACTGGGCAGATATTTTTCTGGTGGCTGACTACTTTAATTGGTCCCAAGGCATTTTGATATTTGGGCTGTTAATTTTAAAGGGCAGTACGCTAAAACTCCTAAAAAAGAGGTGAGTATTCTTTAAGTAATCATCTCGGCCAATGATAGTAAATAAGACTCAAGATCTCATAACCGTTTCCCATGCTTTGGTTTTCACTTCATCATATTTTATGACTCGATCTAACAGATTGTCCTCTCTTCCTTTTTAGAGTACTACCGAATCGCAGGAGTGAAACGATTCAGGAATCCAGAGCATCTCGAAGTTCAAACTCCGGATCCGTCAATCAGCACCCGCGAGCTATTTCTTTGGAACCGATTTCTCCTGGTGTCTAAATTAGGGTTGAATAGGAGATGATAATTATCAAATAAATTTATTCAATTTTATTTACGGTAGTATAGAAGTTATTATCTATAAATCAATTGGGGGGCAGGACTAAATTTTAAATTTTAAATTTTGTACATTCTGCAATCGTCGACATTCCTTACAAACTTAGTCATCATTTTGGGCTTTTAATAAATCCAGTGCTACTGACTAATCCCAGCAAACACTAACAAATTTTGTGTTCAATCTGTATTCTCTTTATTTATTGTACAAAATGTTATTTTAAAACTTAAGAGTGGATTTCTTATCGGTGTCAAATCTTTTTGTTAATATGGCCGCTCTTCTTCGCCGTCGCACTGGAGTTGGTGGATAGTTTGCTCTTCGTTATCGAAGCGGGTGTGTCGCGTAGGAATACTCGAAGGCGTAGATCTGTCGCTCTAAATTGGCAATTTTTTTACATTTTACAGCTGTTTATGTCAGATTTTTCGATGCTTTCCAAGGATCGCAGAATAAATTAACTAATTGATTAATTTTTTAACTACTGTTTATGTTAGTTTGTACAAGTTTCCAAAAAATTACAAGCAAGTCCTATTCAAAAGTGTCATAACTCAAATCATTTGCAATGGAAATTAAAAAAATTAATTTTTAAATTTATTTTATTTTACATATGTATATGTACATCTTATTAAGAGTATGACGTAATAGACGAACGTCAAAGCTATACAATTAATCCGCCAAATTCTCAGTCACTCAGTCACTATCTTTAACTCTGAGGGAGAGAATCTCGAATCAGTCACACGAACTTTAAAGACGCTTAACTTTTCAATTCTGTTCTGTTCCGGACGACACAACTAAATACGATTCACTTTAATAATATATTTTAATATATATATTTATATAAATCAAGTGGAAAAGGAGGTAGAAAAGCCTTTTAAAAGCTTGTCCTTTATATATATTAAATTCCTTCCTATTACTCATAAAAATTGTGAAAATAGCTGAGTTCATCCGGTTGCATAATCAGTAAAATTATTGTATGCGTGAAGGAAAGGGCAACACAACTTGTCTTTTTGTTTTGAAAACTAAGGTAATTTGAATACTTTCTCCATAAAATTAAAAAACGATAAGAATTTAAAAATTGTTTTAATTATTTCTTTTCAGTTTGATTGCGAAAGAATGCGTTTACCAAGGATTTGGTTGGCCACAGTTCTGTTTGTGATGATACAAAGCTCGAGTGCGGAGATCATTGATTGCGATTTCTTCGATACCGTAAGTCTCTCGGCAGAACAGAGGCTCTCGGACGGATCCTATTCCTATAATGATGTAATTATTCCCGCAAATTTGACCGGAACATATGACTTCCGGATTTTGCCGGATGGCCAAAGAGAAAATGTCGCGATTCACATTAGAGGATGTATTTGTAAAGTAAAAACCTGTGTTAGGTTTTGCTGTCCTCCCGACCATTTGTTTGTGGACAGCCAGTGCTTAAAAAACGATATGACAGAGGTCGAGCTGGATCCTTTTCTAAACGTAACCCTTAATGACGGATCGGTTGTGAAGAAGCACTTTGCAGACGACGTTTTCGCACAATGGCATTTTCCATTTCCCTGTGATTCCATGTTCTGCCTAGACAATCGACGGGAAGCGGATCAATACAATTTATTCGAGGTTAATCAGTTATAACTTATATCCTAAGTTTCCGGACTCATTAGTATTACCCTTTTCAGAACGGAACGCTTTTACGCCTTATTGACAACATGTTTATGGACAAAAGAGACTACTGCCTGCAGCATTTTCCGTTTGAGGACGAAAACAATAATATATTCATTAAAGTAACGCCCTTCAACTGTTTTTATGAAGAATCTTCAAAAACTGGACAAACCGTGGGTATGGTTAAACCTAAAGATTTTTCTGAGTGATATTTAACTTCCTTTTTCCACAGCCATCATCACATCGCAAATTTGTATCGTTCTTACCATCACTGTGTATCTTATCGTTAAACCTTTGATGAATATTCAGGGGAAATGCTTTGTCTGCTACTTGTTTTGCCTTTTCATGAGTTACCTCTTCTTTTTGCTCGAGTTGTGGAATTTTATGGATAACTTCTGCATTGAAGCAGGTTGGTTGATTTATTTCTTGATTGCCACAGTTGTGGCAAATGTAGAAAATTCTGAGGCTCCCCTTCATTCCTAAAGCAAATGTTTTTTGTATATTCACCAGCATTCATAGGCTATTTTTTCATCATGGCCGCGTATTCATGGCTGTCTGTTGTTAGCCTGAATTTATGGAGATCGAGTTCCTTCCGCTCTGAGCCGCTACATCTCTTTCGGACCTACAGCTTTTCCGCGTGGGGAATAGCGATGATATTGACAGGAGCCACCCTACTAGCTCACGAATTCGTGAACAATTGGAATTGGAATCCTCGTGTGGGCCACCAAGATCACTGTTGGATCGACAGTGGGTTTCGGCTATTTTTCTGATTATATTGTGCCGTTTCACAGTTTTTATTTTACCCCACAGCTAAAGACTGGTCTGCCCTGCTCTACTTCTTTGGACCGATTCAGTTGCTTGTTACGCTCAACACCATCTTTTTTATCCTCACAGCTAAAAGAGTAATAATGGTAACAGGCGAGCTGATGAACAACTCTGAGAAACAGAAGTGAGTCCAATATTAACCTTTTATATATTAACAGAAGGTTTTTAGATAAGTCAAGAGATTGAAACCTATTTAATTTAGCAGATAACTTAACTTCCTGTTTCCATTATTTCAGTATCATCTTCTTTTTTCGAGTTTTTATCGTCATGGGTCTATCTTGGAGCCTGGAAATATTTTCGTACTTGGTGCAAAACAATAAAAAGTGGGCAGATATTTTTCTGGTGGCTGACTACTTTAATTGGTCCCAAGGTACTTTGATATTTGGGCTGTTCATTTTAAAGGGCAGTACGCTAATACTCCTAAAAAAGAGGTGAGTATTCTTTAAGTAATCAACTCGGCCAATGATAGTAAATAAGACTCAAGATCTCATAACCGTTTCCCATGCTTTCGTTTTCACTTCATCATATTTTATGACTCGATTTAAAAGATTGTCTCCTCTCTTCCTTTTTAGAGTACTACCGAATCGCATGAGTGAAACGATTCAGAAATCCAGAGTATCTCGAAGTTCAAACTCCGCATCCGTGAATCAGCACCCGCGAGCTATTTCTTTGGAACCGAGTTCTCCTGGTGTGTACAATTAGGGTTAAATAGGAGATTCGAATTTGTTCAATTTTATTAACTGTAAAGTACAGCAATATCTGTAAATCAATTAGAAAGGCACGACTAGTGCTTTAACCAAAGACAAGTGCCAAAAATTGAATATGAACACATTTTAAATTTTGTACATTCTGCAATCGTGAATACTCCTTATAAACCATTCCTTAATAAAACCTCCCAGCAAACAGTAAAAATGTTGTGTTCAATCTGATTTCTCTTTATTTATTGTACAAAATGTTATTTTAAAACTTAAGAGTGGATTACTCATCGATGTCGAATCTTTTTGTTAATATGACCGCTCTTCTTCGCCGTCGCACTGGAGTTGGTGGAAAGTTTGCTCTTCGTTATCGAAGTGGGTGTGCCAAGAAGATCCTTGTTTCCAGAGCTGGCACCTCCACTGCTGGCAGATCCTGCAAGCACTCCGACACCTCCACCAACTGAAAGAGTGTTCTCATTCCGATGCGAAGGGGAATCTGTTAAATAAAAAGAAAATAGGATTAATTGTATGAAACGCATTTGAAGATTTGATGTCTCGAAAATGATTTCTGGTTAAAAACGGCTTCTTGAAGCTCTTGACGGATTAATCATCACTTTGATAAGTACTTTTTTTAGCACTTGTTCTGGGCTACCTTTTTCATCCTTCGGCGTGCTTTTGATTGTCGTTGTTCCATCGTGGGCCGTTGTTGTGTTCTGATTGATGGAGATCTGATTGTCGCTGGAGTCTTCATTTGTTATGGAATCCGATTCGCTGGCACGCTCAGCTGTAATTAAAAGTTCCTTTAAGATGCGGGGGAATAAAGAAATTCAAGAAAGTCTCGTGTAGATGGCAAACCAACTCTCACTTCTAAGCCAAATTCGTTCCTTGTTTAGAGCTAGGACCTTATGGTCAAGAACTTACGATTGCATATAGCCATGGAGGTGATGCTGGACTTGGAGAAGAGCCGCTCGGCCTCCTTGAACTTGCGATTCCGCTTGTCGGCCTTCGAATTGGTGGCTTTGTTGGAGGTCAAGTAGCGCTCCCATCCGCGGATGATATTTCCGCAGAGCTGTGTGTCCTCCAAGTAGGAACCCTCGAAGGCGTAGATCTGTCGCTCCAAATTGGCCAGTTGTTCCTGTCATTCGAGCGAAGAAATAGTGATATAATCTACATTGTTTGTGGTTTGTTTATGTTGAGTCTTACCGATGTCTCGGCCTTCTTTTTAATCAGGTCCGCCAATTCGGCGCGTGTATCCATCGACCCACTTTTTGCATTTGAGTTCGTTTTGCCCGACTTCTTAGGCTTGTTTCCATTCGTTTCGCTAACATTCTTACTCGTTGGGGAGCTCATATTTCCAGAATTTACTTTGTTTTTATAATATCGCTTGTTTTTGTGTTGTGTTAGTGGTGATCAAGAAACGATTACACAATATATTTATATATATCGATACTATCGGCGCTGTAATTGATATTATTTTAGTCATGACACAAACCCAACAAATAAAAGTTATCAGATTTCCTGTGTAGGTGGCGCTGTTAAATAGTTAGACCAGTTAAATTTGAAATTTAGTGCATTTATTTAAATTTTGAGTTTCATAAGCAATGAGTTTATTTAATATATGAGTTCTGGGCTTTAAAATTATAATCTGGGATGATACAATAAAATAAAAGTAAAATTAGATTTAAATATATTCTAATAATGCTCATGTGTTAAGAAAATTTTTTTTAAAGAATCACAATTTAAAACTTTAAGTCAAGCAAAATAATTTTTTTTAACAAAGAAGAATTTAAACTTAAAATAAAAAACCAAGTTTTACCTTCACGGCCAAAGACCGCAATTAGTAATTTGAAGAGTTCTAATTGCTCCCCCAATTCTTATTTTCCAGATTTTTCTTGACTGATTTCAAAGCTATTTTCCCTTTTTCTTAGCTTTTTTATTACAGCGCTTGCCGCTTTGCCACTTTGCATTAATTTTTTAGGCGAGTGTGGCTGCCATTGACCTCGGTATTGTTATTCTTTTTCATTTATGCGTTTGCCTTAGACAAAAGAATCGGTTCAGCTCAAGCGCCATCATCATAACCACCGTCTTGATGGCGATCATCTAATGGATCCCCGGGAGTCTTGCATAGTTTATTGACCCAAGCTTCTTTCAAAGTTTGTTGAACTGCCGAAAAAAGTGAAGCTACCGTTCTAGCTCTCTATTTCTTCCCGTTCCCTCTATTCTTCGCATTCTTCCGCCTTTCGCTCTCTTACCGTTTGGTCTTTCTCTTTTATGTGACTTTAATTTACCTTACGCTTTTTATGGGCCTCCTGCTTCGCGCCTATTTCACTTTCGTCATACGCGGCGTATGCGTGATTTTATTTTCGCAGCACATCGCCTTTCATGTTGACCATAGAAAACTGCAATGTGAAGTGAAGCTGCAGATGAAGACGAACTCGATTAGAAAATGAAATCATAATGCAGTGGATAGCAAAAGCGAAACGGCAACGACCTAAACAAAGTCCGTGTTCCACTAACACAATCGACTTAGTATCCAACTGACTAACTGACCGACTGACAGTCTGCCGCCTTCTATGTATGTCAAACATTGGCGCGCGCGTATTCGCGAAACAAAAAAAGTGCAGCAAAAAAACTTTCATTTTATTTAAACAAACACACAAGGCGCGGCCTGGGCTTGGACTTGGAAAAACTTATTTTCATTTTGTCTTAAGCAAACATCTTGCAACTGAAAACTCCGTCGGTCGATCGGTTTTAGCCATCTTCTTCTGGGTTGCACTGAAAAAAAGGGATCACAACTATTAAATAAAGCTTACCGCAAATATAGTAGGTTATTTAACACCTACTACTAAACACAAAAAACTAAGTTTTAATAAATACATTGGTAATCATTTTTTAAATTTATTCGGGTTTTCAAATTGTTATCAGTGCTGCCAATTGATGGCAGTTTGCAATAATTTTTATGATGAATTGCTTGGCCGCGTGTGAAATCTGCTGCAGTCGCAGCATTGGCCAGTGGAAAAGTGGAAAACTGCCAGAAAAGTGGAACACAGCTAAAGAAGCAGCGACTTGAAGTGCAACAACTGCAAGTGCAACAACTGCAGCAGCAGCAACGCAAACACTCTCGACTAATTAGCTGCGTTTTAGAAATTCAGGCGGCAATGAAAACAAAATCGAGTTCAATGCTTGCAACGATGACGTTGTTGTTGTGTGTTTTCGACTTTTCCGAGAATTTCACATATAGCATACATAGGCCGATGCGGCGCTTTCCCAACGCCAAGCGAGTGAAAATGAGTCTGCTTCATTTTGGGCAGCCAAAGAAAACTGCAAAATTAAAAGCTAGGATAAGCAATCTTCTTAAACATACCGTCATATTTCCTTTAATGATATTAAAAGAAATAGGGTATTGTTTTAATGATAAGTGTGACTAGCGCGCGATTTAAATCATATAGAGTTATAAAGCAATTTGGATTGTAGTGTCAATAAAAACAAAAAAATTATATCATACGACTTAGGAAATAAAACAATACAGTGTCAACAAGAAACATAAGGCAAAAAAAAAAAAAAAATCTTAAAACAAAAATCTAAAATTATTTTATACAAAAACCAAGTAACGTAACAAAAAGTATTTCTCAGCAAGAAAATTATAATTATTAAATATACATACATAAGTATCTATCTACTGTTTATTTAAATGGCTCAACCCTTTGAGGGCAGTCGGTGGCAATAGTGACATCATAGCGGAGATAACAGAATTGCACTTGCCATCGAGCATGCACTCACACATACACACTCATGAGCTCGCCATTGCAAAGCTCTCTTAACTAAGCTTGCTCTCTTTGTCTCTCTCATACGTTGATCTCTCATTCTCATGATGCAAAGCTCTAGTTTTTGTTTTTGTGCAAAATGCCGGAAGAAACTTGATCTTGATTATTTTCTATGTGTGAGCAAGCGAGAGAGACAGAGAGCGAGTGCGCAAAAAGTTCAAGTTGAATGTCGCGGCCATTGCGACGCTCTCGATGACTCTCTCGCTCGCTCTCTGTGCCTATGTGGGTGGGTGTGTGCATGTGTGGGCGTCACAATTTGCACCACTAGTGCTGTTGTTTTTGTTGCTTTTTTATGTGTGGGCCTGAATGCATTTTAGATTTTAGACTTGTTCTAAGCGATTTGAAAGCTTTCATTGTTGTTGAACCTTTTGTGAGAATTCCTGAAAGTGTTGTTATACCCTTCCAGAGCAAAGGGTATTATAATTTCAGTCAGAAGTGAAGGAGTCACCTCAGACCTCATAAAGTATATGAATCTGAATCGAAATACGTCTATACGTCTGTCCGTCTGTCTGTTTCTATGTAACTAGTCTCTCAGTTTTAAAGCTATCTTGCTGAAACTTTTCCAAAAATTGTGTAGTTATTGCACACAGTATATAAGTCGGAACGGGCCGGATTGGCCGACTATATCGGATAGGTCCCATACGAGAGAATTAAATAAAAAATTCTTACGCCGTTGTATCTGATCTGATCGACTTGATTTCTAACAGATGATGATTTTTAACCGCTATCGAATTTCGGATTAAATTTTATTTAATTGTTTTAGCCTATTTAATTTAATAAAGACGAGATGAGAGTTACCAAACGTCTGAACTTTTTTTGACTTAACTACTACTACAGTCGACTCTCGTTAATTCGAAACTCGAGGGACTCTTGAAATATTTCGAATTATCGAGTGTTTGAAATATCAAATGGTTCGAAATTTGCGAGAGAAAATAAATAAAACTTCGAATTATTAAGTGTTGGTTAATTTTTATTTAATAATATAAAAATGATAAGAATTAAGAGGTACATTCGTGTACGTACATGTATTCGTAATGTGAATTAATTAATCTTTCGAAAGAACTTTGTTATACTGGTTTGCTTTAAAGCATAATTCTGCTGCTCACACTGCTCAAAAACTTTTTTTAAGAGAAAAAGTGCCTGAAACGCTTTTACTTTCGTTTTGTAGACATAAGCTTTATAAGGTATCAAATGAGGATCTTGCTTCCTTAACTGAAACCTCTGCCAAAGGTTCTTTATACTTTCTAGGGCTCATAGCTAACACTAACTTTTAAAATGCATACAAACGAAAGAGTAACAGCAACTGAATAAGTACACAAACCAATTCGTAAGAAGTGTGTGCGTCCAATGGTCAAACTACATAATCAAAACAAAAACAAAGGCATGTTTGAACTTGTCGCAAAATTTCCGCCTTTTTTCTCTGCAACTTTGAATTGTCGAGTGTTAGACGCTGATGAGTTCGAATTAACGCGTGGTTTTGATAAATATCAATGATTTTTTCGTTCGAATTACCAAGTGTATGAAAATGTATTGATTTAGTTCGAAATATAAAGAGATTTCGTAGGGACCTCGTGATAACTTTGAATTATAGAGAGGTTCGAATTATCGCAGGTTTGAATTAATGAGAGTCGACTGTATATGAAAATGTGCAGTAGATATTATAACCTTCCCTTCTGTACGTGTATGTCATGTTTTCTTTAAAATGCTTCTATAAATTCGCCCCTTCAAAATTGTCTAATGGACACTTGAAAACTTGTTTGCACTTCGCACCCTTTTATTATTGTCCTCGCCCAACTATTAATTATTGCCCAAGGCTTTCGTTTACCAAGCCCTTTTGACTGTTTGCCCAAAAAAACTGTTGACCAGCAAACAACGCACAAAACGCACACATTTCAAAGAATAATAAAACAAAAACAGACAAAATGCAATCAAAGTTAGGTAAGAGAACTGACCTTTAACAATGCTGCACAGATCGACGACATCATCTCCGCATCGCATCCCCAGCTCTTTCACTTCCCCCTCTCTTTTTTCTCTACTCGAGACCCAAAACACATTCACCCAAAAACGTCGCCGCTGACAAACAACAAACATTCCTTTTTCAAGAGACAACGCTAAAACACACACACCAGAAAACTTTTTCAAGCTGCGCGCCAATGGCAAAAACAACAAAGCCAACAACAACTCAAACGAAAGCCAAGCTTAGTAAAAAGAGAAAAGCAATCCAAAGACAGTCAAGACCACAAGGAAAAAATTGTACAGGAGGGTTCAGAATTATATGGCCTCGGAATACAAATAATTGTGGCTTAAATTAAGATCTGAGGAACATTTCCGACTTCGTGTTACAACATATAGTGTTGCATACTTTCCAGCCCTATCATAGGAGATTTCATTGCGGTTTCAAAGAAACGATCAAATATATGAATATGTTTAATGGTTATGTAAGACAAATTTTATTAAAAAGTATATTATTGTTATTAGTTTTAATGTATATATGTATGAATGACAAATTGTGAAGTACTAAAACTTTTTTTAATTAAACCAAATAAATTCATAGCTACTATTTTGACTGTGACTGTGTCTT